GAACGACAAAGCCCTATGCGGATGCTCTGCAAGCAGCTGCATGGATATGGCTATTCAGGCTTGTATCATACAGGACTTCGTGATCCTGATTACGAGCCCGTTCTCGCCTACAAGGTGCAGCATATGAGTTGGAGGGTAAATGTTCCGAACCACAAGGGACAGAAATACTCTCTCTCTATGGTGGATCTATTCGACCAACTCAACAAGATGGATCCCATCTATGAGCGTCGTCCCGACAAGAAGAACGTTGTTTTTCGTTCTGGGGACGTTCGTAGCACCTTGGACGACAAGCTCATGGGCAAGGCCTCTGACATCCGAGAATCAGCACTGGAAGTCATGGAAGCACTTCTTGATAAGCTGAAGTCCCTGGATGCAAGCGGCAATCCGGCAACTCGAGAAGAACTTTTGAATGCTATGATTCACTACTTCTTGAGCGCCGGAGTCGATGAAGAGGAGATCGGGGACCTCTCTCTTGAGAAGACGCCGAATCCTTATATTCATCGTTTTGGTCTGGCAGAGGACTCCAATGTCCCTATCTTCACCAGCAAGACCAAGTATGCCGCGCTCATCCTCAATCTCGGCAACATGAGCAGGGGAAGAAAGCGTACCGCTCCTCGCTCCGTTGCTGATCACATTGACTGGGACGATGCTACACCATCTAAAGGAGCCTTGATAAAATCGATTGCACAGTCGAAGACGCATTTGTTCATGCTCTGCGAAGCGGCTCAGATCGATGACTCCGAAGAGGCCTTCCTCAAGTCACGCGGTTGGCAATTCCTTCGTAACGAGTCCAAGGACCTGATGGTGGGAAGTCGTACAAATGGTGTCGGATCTTCGATCACCCGTCTTGCCGGCTCCACTCTCAGTGGATATGCCCACGAGTCCCTTCCAATAACCTATATGGTCGCGGAAATCGTGTATGGCATGACGTTACCGACCGGTCTCCAGGGCAGTCGTGGTGATGTTCCAGATGAGTCACTGACCAAGGTCTTGGAGCGAGCTGGATCCGACCGGCTGAGAGTTTGTGTCTTCCACCTCCACAACGACGCGGCGGCAGACAAGGTGGCGTTGGCTCATGAAGTGTTGGGCAACATGTTCATCGACTGCCTGCACTACCAAGTCGACCTCATCGGTGGCGACGCCAACATGGCCCTCTACCGGGCCACCGGCAGAAAGCAGGAGTCGATGGATATTCGTGGCGGGATGTACCAAAGCCTTCTCGACTACTTCTTGGAGGCATGGTCAGAAAGCCCAAAGTGCCCACACTTCTGTTCGCCTCGTGCGAGACATGTGTCAGCAAACGCCATGTGGCTTCTGAAACAGTATGAGGACACGCTGGGAATGCCATACAAGGAAGCTAAGCAACCAGACTGGAATACTTTTCCTGGTTTGGATCCTGTTATGGCTACAGTCATGGAATGGGGACACAGCATGTCGGACGATCAATGGGCGGAGTTTCCGTCTTCAAAGACTGAGTTCGACATCCATGTCTCTGAGTGGCTGTTAAACTCCACCAGCGCCGCGTACCTTCTCAACGATCGGGACTATGACGCTCACACTCCGCTCCTCATCGAGGTTCACGCGAACCAGTACTCTGGAGGCAGGATGAGAGCGCTCAACCGCAATCCCGACACCATGAAGGAAGCCGCGGACAGAAGAAAAGAGAGACAGAAGCTGAACAAGGCGCGTGGTTCTGGTTCTACTGGTCCTGCAGCCGCACCACAGGGAGCAAGCTCTTCTCAGGAAGAGGCAGCTTCTGGTGCTAAAGCTTCTGGTTCTCAACGTCCTCCAGAACCCGCACAACCTCCTGGTGGCAAAGAAGGCGGCAAAGGAGGCAAGTCCTCCAAAGGAAAAGGGAAGGACGCCGACAAGGGCAAGTCCAAAGGCAAATCCAAGGACAAGTCCAAGGGCAAGAACAAGGGGAAGAACTGACTAGGTTCCGATTCTTCGGACGTGGATATGGACAATGGTTCTGAAGAAGTTCCTTTGGAACAAGTTGGAGACGTTGCTCCAGATCCACAGATATCGCTACCTAGATCCCCTGCTGATCCCCGCGGTTACGACCCTGTTCGTCATCAGCCGGTGATGCCGATTCACACTGTCGACATCTACCGTTGGCATGGTGAGGATCATTGGCGTGATAGAACCTGGGATGCAGACCTAGAGTTCGTCGACTGAACTGGCTGTGTGTTTCACGGAATGCTTCTTTCATAAGAAGGTATCCACTTTGAGCATTCGCCATTTCATAGGGAGATGCTTTTCTCAGGAAAAGGTACTTCCTAAAGAACTCTTTCTCAAAGGAAGATACTTATCTCAGGATAAGATACTTCTAATGCCCTTATATATTTGCCTTGCCGCAAGATGTCATGCTGGCATCAAGTAAAGCTAAGCTTTACACCTTTATGTTACAGTATGCTTTCCGCCTGGAGAGGGAACTGAAACACAAGTGGGCAACTTTCAAGCAAAAGTTTTCAGTTGAAGATCCGTTTGCGTTTCGTGCGTGTTCTGCTCTTTTCATTGAAGCTGTCTTCAGGCTAGAGATGTATAGATTCTCTTCAAGTCGCAGATGTAGCTCAATACTCCGCTAATTCGACCAAGAGCAATAACAGGCTTGTAGATTGCCGACTCCACGGCCATGCAGCTCTACGTGTTTTAAATTTGTGCCTGGTTGAAACACTGAATGTTACACATCCAGGTGCCTGTCTGTTTCACGTATCACTTGCATGTATCCATGCCTGTTGCTCAAGGTTCTAGTGCAGTGGACTACAGCTGTGCGCCTGTAGCAAAAGAGACACCTGAGTGCCTGTGTTCCTGTACGCCTAGCGAGGGGATACACGTCCAGGTTACATCTCAACGGGGGTGGGGGGGTGGGGGGGGGGGGGGGAATGACGTTCTGTTCAAGCGAACACCAATGAAGCTGCGAAGTTCCCTGTGCAAGCGTGCTACTGACAGGAAAGAGAACAACGAAGAAACATGGGAACCCCGACTCACGGCCATTGCCACGCACAGCCAAGGGTTTGGCATGTTGTTCTACAGCTTGAACTCCAAACAACTGCATTACATCAGCATCGTCATCATCACTGCCGGCATCACCACCATCATCATCATCATCAGCAGCATCAGCATCGTCATCATCATTGCCGGCATCACCATCATTATCATCACCACCATCACCACCAGCATCGTCATCATCATTGCCGGCACCACCATCATTATCATCACCATCATCATCATCATCACCACCATCATCATCATTACACACCACGTGCATTACATACAACTCAGTAATAGCAATCCCCAGAACAACCAATTATCACTACACACGAAACAAGGTCACGATACATGCTATCCCAAACCCCTGCCCATAAAAGTTTTTCCCAGCACGAAAACACCGAACCCCGAAAAAACCAATACAAAACCACCACTGAAAGTGAACCCGCAGGGCTTAAAGTTGTTGCCGTAGAGAGTCACCCACTGGAGAGAATATGGTGAGAAATCGGGGCGGCCTTCGCGGATGACCAAATGTACTCACGGATTTGCGCTCCCGTGGTTGGGGGGTAGCAAATGCTCCGGAAACAGCAGCATGACCGGTGCGATCATGTCCTACCCCTACCTGATATCGGCCCCATATCTCTGGCAACTGCAAAAACAGAGCATGTGTCCACACTGCGATTATGTAAAGACTTGTTACACGATCGGGCGCTTCACGACCCTAAGCTCTTATCGGTTGTTGCTCGAAAGAAGCAGTATCCGACTCGTCTTTTTACTCGGCATTCTGTCAGCAAGCGGGTCTCCTCGCGCAAATCCCGGAGCTGACGGAGCAATCTCGCTAGAACATCTTTGGAGCTGTCGGAGGCCGGCTGCCGAGGCTCTTGGTAAACTTCCTGGTGCACGTCCAGATGGGCCTGGCCTGCCGCGATCAAGTCCTCCTGCAGTTTCTGCAGCCTCCGAGCTGCCCCCGACGGCTCTACGTCTACGTCTGCAGGAGGCCCCAGCAGTGACTGAGATGTACTCGTCGGTTCGAAGATTCCTCTGGCCTGCTCCAGCTCGCCGAAATCCTCACGTTCTGCACTTTGGCTTGGTCCGTGCTCCTCCAGGCTGAAGCGCCAAGCGTTCTGCTGCAAGAAGCTCCTTGGCCAGTTTGCCTGTCGGGCTGGTGCACCAGAAACCTCAGCAAGCCCCAGCCACACAGCGCCACACGGCACTCGCGCCATTCAATGAGTTGCAGCTTGGGCACTCCTGGCGCTCTTGGCCTTCCGCCTTCGCTCGAGCGATTCCCCGCCGCAGCCAAGGCTTCTTGCAGCTCAGAATGGAAAGTTTCATCACTTGACACCACGGGGTCATGACAGCGCATGGCAGGCTTGTATATCTTGTATGTAAATTCGGATCTTCGTCTTTGGCTTCTGCGTGCATTACCGATATGCACAAATGTGACAAAACTTCGTTCTGCATGGATAAGTCACTGACGGCAATTGGCATATCGGTGCGAGATGTGATGGCAGCACAGAACCTCCTATTCGTTAGGGTGGCAGCTGAGCCAGTCGATTAAGCCCAACGCTCCTTAGCTTCCGGAATCGTCGAAGCAGGCGAGCGTTTTCAGCATTTCTGCATCTCCCGATCCGGTCGGTCCGGTCCTGTGTCTGGCCGGCTTGGCCGAGCTCAGAAACATGGGGGAGTCTTTCACTATGGTGCTGTGCCAGCCTGTGCTGGCTCCGCGGCAAATCTAGTGTGAGAAGAAAAACTCAACATGCCGCCGGATGATGGCCAGTGCCAGCTCTACTGGTTGCTAGGTACTACAGTTACTACAGGGTATTTCCCAAAAATGCATTAATCGGATCCCGGAATCCGTTTCCGGCACCGATACGGATCCCGGAAGTGCATGGGCCATTGAGGTCCCTTGAAAGACTCAGCCGCTTGGGAAAGCGTCACATCACTACTTAAACCGCTAGCAAGAAAACTATTGGTGCAGAAGTCTTTGCACGTGCCTTCCGCTGCATGGCTTAGGGCTGAAGCCCAACCAAGCCCTCCACGACTTGCATCACCAGCTCATGTGCTTCCGCACTGTTGCGTCTTGTGCTGCTAGGGCTTTCCTGGAGGCAAGCGGAGATTTTTTTTGACCTAAATGGCACTACAAGTAGCAATGAGGCAACCAGCCTGAGGCTCATGAATTGCGGAGTGTTCGGACGGCTCTAGAGAGTCGTCGTGAGTCTCTGGCGAGGACCGGAGGGAGGCTGCGACCGTGTCAGCACTGCTTGGGCAACTCTCTCTTTCGGCAGCCAGATCGATCTGCCTGCAAGCGTCTTCCCATGTTCAACATCCTGACTACCGTCTCCGCAACTCTTTTCCAATCTCTTCCAAATTCCGAAACAATGCATACCAGGGCACACTTCAATCTGGATGGTTTGAGCATCGTCGTGCCACTCATTATGTTCTTGCCGCGCTGCGGGACCACTGAAGCGCACCACGACTGGGCAAGCCACTTGCTCTTTCGAAATCGTCTCATAAACCTGCCGTCTGATAACGTGGATCAGCTTCGTGTGCGGCTTTTCCTCCGACTGCCTGGACGAATAGGTCGGATAATGCGTGGCGCCACTCGCAAAACGACCGCCCAGGCCTGAAATCGGAGTCAGTTAGGTCCACGTCCAGAACGGCCTCGGGGTGGATCGAATGCCATCTTTACGGAAAGACTCTGGGTGCCACAACTTCGTTGGCAAAGGGCCTTGGGCGACTGGCAGCCAGAGTTTCCTGGCTTCTCGTTTGGCTTCAGCGCAGGCCGACCGTAGGCAAGGGCAGAGCGCTTCAATTGCCTGGCATAGGAATAAACCCCCGACGGGGACGAATGTCCGCCGAAGCGTACTAGCTCTTCCTCGTTCTCCAGGATTTTGCAGATGCTAGGCTTGGAGCTCAATCGGCTGAGACTGATTGCCAAAGTCTGCAGACTGCTGACCACAGCAAAACCTCGCTGCGAGTCCCGCCACCCGGTGGTGGGGGCATCGAAGGCTTTCCGAAAGCGTGGGCTACCAGGCTGAAGCCGGTCGGTGTATGCAGCCGTGGCCCGTTTCCGGCCGGGTGTCAACGGTGGTAGCCTCAGATTGCGTGAGCAAGTTCGTAGGATTCGGGTCGCACCAATGGTGACATGCCACGGACCCACTGCTAAAGCTGCTAACGAAGCTGCTCGTCAAACCTCAGGGTGCCAGCCTTGCGCGGCGATTTGTGTGGATAGGCTTCTCGAACTCCGTGCATGTGGGACGCAGCCAGAATTGCGTCGGATGGCAAGACTTCCTTGAATGCACCCTGCATCTTTGCATTCATCGACGTGGGTGTCCTGAAAATCTGAAGGGGACGCTTGCCGATCACCCCACATCAGCACCTAGTGCATTTGCTAAGACTTCTGGCGTCCGGATCAGCACTGCTACTGCTGCTACTGCTAGGACACCGTGGTGCTACGTGGTGCTTTTTAAGCATGCCGGCCTGTAAAGGCCAGTATCCACGGGTGGCAGTCTTGGGGATGGCATCTGCCCAAGCCAACTTCTGCCCAAACGCTGACGCAAATTCTTGGGAGTTGGAGTCGTCGCCTCCTCGCCTCTGAGCAAGAGTGTTGCAAACCCAAGTGATCACAGCAACCTAGATCGGCCTAGATCACGGCACAGTTTCGTTTGCGCGATCTCGACCGGCTGGAGTTCATGTTCAATAAGAGGACCACTGATGCGGACAGACTAATTAAGCTACTGCACTTGGTCCCGTCCGAAGATTGACAGCCCGGAGAGCCTTGTAGTTCTGGAATCTTGTGGAGTGCTGCAATTGCTGCCGGTGTCTGGTCTTTGTGAACTGAAGCCTCGGTCGCAGGTTGACGCAGTTCATTTGAGGTAAGGATCTGAGGTCCCTCCGATACCCGCAACTGACACAATTGCCTTTGAGATTCCTTGAATGAGAACTGTGAGAACTGGCAGGGTCAACACTATGAAACTGCCAATGCATGAGAAACTGATGTTCTGAGGTAAGCCGCTGGTACTTTGATCGGCGGTGGCCCACTGGCAACCGCTTCTTCGTTGCTGTAGTCGGATTCGAGTTCATGGCACACTGGCAGCTGCTTGCCTAGTTGCTTCGATGGGTGCTTTCGAGACAGCCTTTCTTTGTGCCCGCGCTGTGCCATGTTCCCTGTCGACGGCATCACCTTGGCGCTTGCCGCGACCTGAGCACAAAGTGCCATGGCCATCTTCCGTCAGACGGATTCGAATCGCACTGGTGTGCGATTCAAGGAGACGCTTCTCCGCGCTATGGCCCTATGGCAAAGAAGTCACAAGAAGGGATCTCACGTGTGTCACATGTCCCATCCAGTTGCCAATTGTGCCAAGCCACCCATTTGCCGACTGCAGTTCCTCTTGCACGCTGCTCATCAAATAATCATACTGGCATGGCTTGTCTCTTTGAGCAAGACAACGACCCAAATCCATCATTCCAATGCCGGGCCGTCGGTGTTAGATGCAGACACTGATGGAGACGACGTGAAAGCACATCCACAGAAGTATTATATCAAGAGTTGATCAAGAGAATAATGCCGAAAAGACAGTTCAGAAATGACCAGGGCAGCTGCCGAACCCTGGCTGAAACAATGAACAAATTTTGTGCTTTGCAGTTCGCGTCATGCGACAATCTTGCGATTGCCTCTCACATCATGTGCGCACGCTCTCAGAGGTGCACGCCATAGTGTTGAGGCCTCGCATGGAGAGTGCAATGATTTGTGCCTGTGCAATTGTCTTGTGCACATCGTCGCCACAGCACTTTCAGGAAGAGGCCGTCTGTACTGGAGCGCTTCGCTGCGCTCTTTCCCGGTGATACCCTGCGATGCGAGTCCGCACTTCTTGTCGCTGGCTGCTGTAAACACGCGCTTGGAGCGCACCATGCGAGATGCGCTCTTCCAGAGCTGGTCCTCGCAGAAGCGTGACCTTGGATTATGCTTCCAGCGAGCTCATCTCTGTGCCACTCAGCACTCGCAGGCTCCACCTTGGGTCTGAGCTGTGGTGGCTTGCTAGCCGCATTGAAATTGTGAGCACTGACATAGCTCACCGACTTGCTGCTCGCCTTGCCACATGGGCGGCAATGCACTGCGCAGTCCAGAGCCCAGCAAGGGGCGCGCCGCGCGCCCGCACGGAAATTTCGTGCGTCTGCATGGCTTCAGCAAAGGTCCCGGCCGCAGCGAGGGACTTGATGGTGCCTTCATGTCGCCATGGTGCCTTTGTCAGCGATCCGCTCCTGAATGGTACGAGGAAAGTTCAGTTTGCTTGCGTGGTGGGGTCAGCTATGCATGGATGATGACTCTGAGAATCTGACATGCAGGACCGCTTGGCACCAGTACCGGCTTCTGGGTCCCGCTTTATGTGTGCCCCAGTGAAGACCTCACAAAGACCAGCTATGGAATGGACATTCCAAAGAACTATCAAGATGTTGACTCTAGTCTGCACGGGCACATTGTGCTAGCAGGAGTAATCTGTGCCGGGCCCCACGCATCGAGCGGGGCCGTGTCATCGTTTTCGCGCAAGCGGGCATGCCACTCCTGCTCAAACTGCGACTGCGCGTCTCTACCTTTAGCCGTTGCCAGCGGCAAAGATGGCCGGACTCGAAGTCACTCTGAATGTCAACTCTGCGCTCCAGGTCGGGGCGACCCAGCTCATGGAAAGGCTCCATGGTTCGCATGCTTTCCGGAAGCCGGCCCTGAGCAAGGCCGATCATAGGTTAACTTTACAAGTAAACGCCGTCTACATGCTCAGAGCCGGGCATCTACGCGGCCTCGCATAGGGTACCTCCCAAGTTACAGTATTTCAAGATTCACGCTATGTTTTCAACAGCTGAGATGCTGGCGATGGAGCATCCTTGAGAACCCGCTCACTCCGGTCCAGATCGGTCACCTGCAAAGAGTAATGAATATGCAACAGTGGAGAAAGGAGGAATCGCCAGCAGGGCACAGCAAGGCAGAAGCTCGCTTTGCGCAGATGAAAGAAAGTGGTTAAAGTATTGAACGAGCATCCATCTGGGGCTGCCACCCCCGTTCTGCTGATTCCTTGCGTGAAAGTCTTCCTGAGTGATACGAGTACTTCCCTGTCGCTGACCAAACTGGAAAGTTTTGTAGACTGAGTCAGCTTCCGGACTGCAATTCGATCCTTGGCTCCGTGCATTTCGTGGTGGTAGCGGATCTTTGAAGCAGCTGCCTGCAGCAACTCCGGCATCGGACGGACAGGGATGCTGTTTGAAACTGGTGCCAAGTTCTCCCTCCTCCATTTCCTTGATGTTGTGTTCCAGGTATTGCTCCTGGAGACTTGCTACAAGTGCTTGCTGCAAACTGCTCGTTTAAGCGAAGTTCCTGACGATCTTCGTCAGGTCGCCGGCCATGGTAGTGGACACTCTCGTAAAGAGACCTGGTTTTCCAGATGTGCTTTAAGCTTTAGAGGCCTCTGCATACAACACCCAGGCATAAGCTTGGAGCTTGGGTCCGAAGTCATGCTCTTGTCCCATCAGCATATGCTGGGGATCAAAGGGCGTGGAGGTGTAGCGACGGTTGTGTGGAACCTTGAGCATGAAAGACTGCGGTGTGACGAGTGGACACTCCGGCAGCCTTCCCCGGCTCGAAAGTCTCCACCACAGCGACGGGCCGCGTCCTTTCTTCGCCCAAATCCTTTGAGATGGGAACAGGAAGGCATGAGCTGCACAGGCTCTGTGCCAGACAGGCCCGGCTGAGCTGTGCACAATGCGGAACCACTCGCCCTCTTCGAAGGGCTGACGAGGCAGTGTCAATCATGCTGTGGCAACCCTTACCAGGAACAGTAGCAAAGCTATAGATTCATAAAGTGCACAGAGCGATGCGCCTCGTGCAACAACTCCACGGTGGATTGATCTGAGACAGAGCTGCAGTAGCTAACAAGCCAAATTAAGCACATAAGGCTCTCCAGTTCTGCCAAGCTACCCAAATCACGAGGCGGCTTTCGAAAAGCTTCGCGCTGCCGGGCTTGAACAATGCGAAATACCTGCACCAGTACGTTCTAGACCATGGAAAACGGAGAAAGTTTGTCTGCCTCTCTGTCATCTCCTTCCAATCGCGCGTAGGTGTCGTTCGGGCGTGGTGGTGGAGGCTTTGGCACCTCTTCGCCAGATCTCATCAAGACTCAAAACGATTCATTCTCGCATGCGTTTGGAGCCTTCATGGTCCCGTTGTGGCCTTGCTCAGGTCCCTGCCCCGGGTGGTGCAGCGCCAGCGAACTCGAAGTTCTGGGACATGTACGTGGGATCTGGGCCGAGTTTTAGTGCAAATTTCTCCAGACAACAGCGAGTCCACTGACTTCAGCTTGACAAAGGCCATTATCCTCTGAGTACTGTCGTCGTTAACAGTAAACTGAGTCTTCAGCTGTAGGTCCAGACCTTCTCAGATTCGTGGCCGGCCATGTGCTTTCGGAGCCATTCCTGGCCACTCCGGAAACGTCTTTTGGATGGCTGCGCAGTGAATCCCGAATCATGTGGAGAAACAACTGGAAAGCATGCCCCAACCTTCTGCAGCTCTGCGCTGTTCAGCTTCTGGCTGGAGTACAGATAAACCTGCAATCTGGAAGTTCGAGTGTCAGACGTCATTTTGCCTCCTGCATGCTGAACGAGTCGCTAGGCAGGGTAATTTTTGCCTCTCAGGCATTATGCAACAGGCTCGTGTGCCCTGTGCTCCAACCGACTACTCACGACAACGCTCACCTTCGTTTACAGTCTGAATCACAAGATTACGGCCCAACTCAGCCTTACGAACACACCTGTGTCTATCCGTGCCTTGCCCCTTAACTGACCTGTGAACCCAAATGTTCTTCTGCTTCTTGAAGCATTTCTCAATAGGTACTCGCGGGATTCGTGCAAGCGCTGCAGACACGATGCCTGACCCTCGAGGAAAGGAGTTTCCCGTTCACGCTTCTTCCCCAGAAGGTCCTGGGCTGGACAGGTGGGCAGGCACCTTCACAGATATCGAAGCATCCAGGCCCAAGCGTTCCGGCGAATATTTTGCTCCGACTGCACTCGCACCTGTTCAAGCCGTAGCATGGTAAGTCAGAGCTTGTTTCACAGGAACTTCTTGCGACGCTACGAGGCAAGTGCCAGCGTCTTGTTCGTCTTCTGAAAATTTTGCACGGAAGCCTTCGGAGCAGATTTCCACATTCTTTACACGCATGCTTTACTGCAGAAATCTCTAGCGCTCTAGCATCGTGAGTTCCGTGCGTGCAAAGCAAAGGAGACTGGAAGCATGGCACGCCTGCGCTCAATGCCTGCACTGCACAACTGAGGCAAGCTCGCTCTTGCGTAGTTCCGCATGCTCCTCGTAGTGTGCATTCCTGAAGATATCTCAGCAGAAGAGCAGCATCAACCGGTCACTGACGACACAACCGAGAAGTTCTCACACAGCGGGGATTTCCGCTTGCACAGCGGTCTGACTCACCAGATCCATTCTGTGTCTGGTCTTTGCCGAACTAGACTCTACATCTGAATTCAAGCTCTACGACTCTACAACCTAATCTAAACTCATCATGTCCAACATGTCCATGGCCTTCACATTTATCGGCTCCCCCTGCTCTTTCGCGGGAGATGGAGACAGCATTGTCCGGATCAAAGCATTGCAGCCGGAGCAGAAACCCAACGTAAGTCTCCGCAGCGCCTCTGCACAAGATGCGCAGTATGGACCGTGCTTGCAGTCTGGCGAACCGAAGATGCTTCTTGCAGCAACTTCTGCATAAATGTCCTCACCCGGCAGGCCACATCTCAAACATTTCGGACCTTGTGCAGCCAGCTGCGACGCAGGATACGGAGTATCGCGTGGCCTCTCCGGCTCTGTTGATATGCTGTGGCAGCAAATTGTAGAGCCGCCGCTTGAAGCTTTTCCGCATCCATCTTCTTGGCGGTGCCGGCTCAGATCCTGCAATCCAGGCCCGTACCCCATGTGAGGGAGCGAGCCAACAGGAACGGGGAGGAGGGAGGGAAGAAGGGAGGAGCCCTGCGATATGAACCCTTTTACAAAATTGAAATACTTCGTTGGGCGTCCCTAGTCTCCTGCTTCTGGCACCTGGTGCCACAGTAGTACACCTGTTTGCATGAGGTGCAGCGCTTGAGCCGTTCCGTTGTTCCACACGTGGTGCAGCTCAGCGGTCCCCCTCCAGCCATTGTTCGGAGCCGTTGGCAAAATTTTGCACCGAACCGTCTAAGTTTTGACTCACGAGAGACCGACCGGACCAGTTAAAAGTTAAAAGTTTGATCTCTCCATGTGCATGGTAATGTGTGCTGCGAGGCATGCTGATGTCTTGCATGCTTGAGCCGTGTGCTGCCAGAAAGGTCGAGCATTTTGGCGGGGATCGTCGCTGCACAGTCGCCACGGAGACAGTGCAGCAGCTCCAAGGGTTGCGCGTCTGGTCTAACTTCTCCTTGAGAGTCGACCGCGTCTGGAAACGCACCGTGCCTGGAGGCAGAGTCTGCAAAGAGCCGCGGCCGTTCAGCGACTGGACTGGCAAAGGCTCAGCAGAGAAAACACCTGCATACCCTTCTTCAGTGTTACGTTCGGGGATCTTTGCAGATCCAAGGCCTCCGCTGCCCAGCTGACCAGAGGTCACTGCCTTCGAGGGAGACATGGCATTGGCGGGGGGAGCATGAAGGGATGTGCGTGGATGACACTTGCAGCAAACTTTCGTGGCAATATCTTGGGTGGCACAAGTTTAGCAGGCCTCTGCCAGGACATCTCTTGTTGCTTCGTGCGGTGCAACTGAGGTTCGCCGATCGCCGGGGCCCGCAGGGGCTGCCCTTTTCTTGACCTCACAAGCGGCGGCGGCAGCCTACTTAGTCTAAGCATGGTGTCTAGGCCATGCCGAAACAGAGCTTCATCGACTGCATCGGCATCCCTGGCCCTGGCTGCAATGCAGTCAAGTGTCGATGATGGCTTCTTCCGCAGGGAAGCCCTGGTCTCAACCCACTTCTCATGTTGTGGCAAATGCTGAACACTATACCAGCCTCCAGCTCTCTGTCGCTGATGTATGCACCTGGCAATGAAGCACGCGCAAGCGATTTGATTAGCTGCACTGATGCTTCACTGCTTGAGCTCAGTCGACACGCAAGAGCGCATGCATGCACTCCGCACAGGCAAGAGCAGCCATAAAGTCGCTGCAAATGCTCGATTTGTGCTGCCTGCGCCGGGTTGCAACTATGCTGAAGCAAGCAGCTGGAACGATTGGCTCAAGATGCTCGGCTGCAGCGAGTAGTTTCTCATAATTCGGGAAGAGCAACCAGTGTGTTCACCTTCGCATTCTTCTGAAGAAATCCTTCTCGCTTGGTGTTGGCCGAGATTCAGCTCATGTAAGGGTTGACTACTGTGCACTGCTGCGCCTTTGGAAAGTGTGGAGTCTCTCGAGCGCCACGAAGTCGGTTCAGGCTTTTCAAAGCCTTATCCAGCACAAGCGTCACAAGTCGGGTCGCGCAGCCTAGCCCCCCCCAAAAAAAAGATTTTTCTGCCAGGGCAGACACCATGAGTTGCTTCGGCACTTCATTCGCAGCGGCATCTTCAGTAGACACCTCGGAACGACAAATGCAGCCACATCTTTGTATTTTCCACCTGCCGTGACGGCATACCTTCCGCATAGTACAGCCGGGATGGACCGGAAGAAATAATAGTGAAAGCGGAAACAGAACAAACGAGGCGAGGGAGGCGAGATGATTGTCGAGATGACAGCAGCAGAAAACAGGAGGATCTTTCGTTGAGACACACACACACACACCCACACCCACACCCACACCCACACCGGCACCCGCACCCGCACCCGCACCCACACCCACACCCACGCACCCCTGTGGACACACCAACCTTACTAACGAGAAATTCGAACAGCGACGAGGATTTTACGAATAGACTTGCACCTCCGGCAATCTTTTGTCATCGTACGTACACAAAGATAAACACCAGCTGTCTTTCTTAGCTAGTCTTGAATTCGCTGTCTTTCTCCAGGCTTCCAATTCTTTCTGTTCCTGGTCTTCCAAAAAATTCTCAGATATGCACCCCGATTTTGAGTTTTAAACAAGCAAGTCGCAGTTGACACTGAGCGTGCTTACAGGGTTCTTCCCCCTCAACAACAGCTATCAACAGCTATAGTAAGACTTCTTTGCTAGGTGCGTGTCCTCTGGCCAAAAAGCCGGCCCCCTCTGCTTAAAAATCCAGCCCGGTCCTCCTCTTTTTGTACCCCAATCATCTGCTTTTGCAGCTCGGGGGAATCTACGCCGCACTAATTGGAAAAATAGCCCAAGACCAAGCAAGCGAGGAGGACGTAAGCCGCGTGCGAGAAGGGAAGAGCAGAGGTGGACCAGGACACGGAAGACGCCGCGTTAGCTGCACCTGCACCTTCAGAAAGTCTTTGCAGGACCCAGGAATGGACCTGCGCCAAGTTCGAAAAACGAGGGCAACAGAAGTAGCCCTCTTTGTCCAGCTCGGCAAAGTCGCAGAGCCCAAGAGTCCACCCTCGTGGCTAGCCCAAGAAGTGCTACGCATGGCGAGGCGCAAGCGGACGCACGAAGCGAGGGGTACAAGCCTGAGACAAGCCAATAACAGCAGGCTCGGAAGATTTTGTTTGCACAACCCTGCATGTTGCCAGCCAAGTCAGACCTCCGTCCACTTGAAGAGACGGACCCTCGCACAGTCCATTTTCCTAGAAGGGGCACCAAACCCTTCTCGCACCAATTCGCAGCTAGCAGCTAGAGGCCTTGCACAAATCTTTCAAACCATCAACAGAAGGTGTGTGCCCTTGGATGACATACAGTACGTGTATTGGGCCATGTGGGGCCTTTAATTTGGTGCACCACTTTCCTGTGCTAGTGCCGGCTTGCTTTTCGCCGTGGCGGTGTCGCCGAGGGCATGGCCAAGCAGGTCGCGAAGTAGGCTCCCACTTGTGTGCCGGTCTGCTCTTCGCCTTGGCATGGGTGCGGCTCGTGCGGCACCGAATCGTCTCGGTCTTCTCGTTGAGCTCGAGGACGAGTTTGTGGTCGACGAGCGGGGTCTCGTCCTTTTGGTTGGTGCCCGCCGTGTTGGCCGTGTCCCTGCGCACGCTCTGGTGCTTCCGAGCAAAATGCCTGAGACTGAGAAGTCCTGTACTTTGCCGTTCCGGAATAGCGGGACGCCTGGACCAGTAGCTTCGTTGCCGCTCCCCCTTGCGCTGTGCTTCGGTAAAGTGCGCACTTCGTTGCTTTGCCGTCGTGTGCTCCCCTTGTCCATTGCCGAGGGTGAGCTAGGCATTTTCGATGTCTCATGTCCCTTACCCAGTCTCGTGCGAAGCCCATCGTCTTGTTGGGGGCCTTCGTCTGCAGGGGTTGAGAAGGTTGCGACTTCTTGTTGCTTTCGTTCAGCTAGGTGTTGTCAACGTGTGAGGGGCCTCACCCAAAGCGGACTTACAAGTAGCACAGAACCCGGGGCCCGACCTGAAAGCCAATATTGCGGTGAGTGGCCTCAAGCCCCCACCACGTCCCCTGAAGTGGGGCGGGGCATCTCTCCCGGGCATTGGGGTCGGACTCCATGGGGCTCCAAGCCCACCGGCACGTTTTGTTGTGCTCTCTCTCTCTCTTTCTTTCTGCCGGGCTTCGGGGTCCCGCATGACCCGCAGGCATGTGGCCCGCCGACCACATTTGTGTTGTTAAGTGGCTGGCATTGAGGTCCCCCATGACAGGGGGTGCAACGTGCTCAGGTTTCTGGGTTGACATCCCCCGACCCTGTACACTGGCAACAGCAAAAGCCAGGCCTCGTCCCCGTGCCCCTGTGGCTACCATGTTGTGGTGCCAACCCATGTTTCATGGAGCCCCCATGCAAAGGCAGAGGGTGCAACGATGAATGCGTCAGACTGCCGGCCTAGCAAGATTCTGTCCCCCTTCCTTGATGGGTTGCACCAGAAAAGTCTATGTTGGGTGGCCCGCTTTTGGGTGGCACCAAACACCAAACTACTGCAGGGAGTATGAAGCGAGCAATACGGTGTCAGCGGGTTTGCGTCCACCAGGCTATGAAAGGCCAGGGTCCAACTTGCTCGTCTCTTGCTTGCTTGCTTGGGGGTTTAGGGCCCCACGGCCATTGGCCCGGAGGCCTACCATGGCTCGCGGTGGTCTGTCAGCTCGGCCCCTTTTCGGGGAGGAACGACATGTTCCTCCGAGTGCCAGTGTGTGAACCCTCCGAAGAACAGCCCTCCTAAACCGTGACCCGTCAGCACCCCGGCACTTGTCACTCGGGTCATCCACTCTTTCCACTCGTCGACTCGTCTATCTCTCTCTCGCTCTCTCTCCCTCTCTCTTTCCACTTCTCACAAACTAAGGGTCACCAGCCGCAGCCGCTAAGTCAGCTGCATGCACGCCTTCTCCCCCTGCCATTAAAAGAAACTCCTGTTAAGAGCAGAGGACCCTGCTAGTATGTCAACTTGGGGCACGCGAACTCACGGTGTGTACACCGCGTCGTTTGTTCGGCCAATGTAAACGCCACGTGCATGGGCGTGCGTCTTCGCCACAGTTCCAGAGAGATTTGAAAAATCGATTGTCCTGTACTTTTCTTCGTGCTACTCAGAACTCGGAAACACTCGAAAGGGACCCTGGGTCGTCAAAAGGCTTGTAACGTGAAGCTAACTTTGCAAAAGTGCAGTGGTTCGGCTCTCTTGCTCGGAACTCTTGGCAAGCACACTATGATAGGTCTGGCCTCGTACGCACGGCAGTCAGTCTTGCACAAGAAGTGTGGGCCGTGCAATCTCCAGCCGAAGCAAACAATCACCCAAAGCGAGTTTGTCACACTGGCCCACATTCCTAGACACTGGAGAAGTCAAAGTCGACAAATTCCCACCTACACTACGGATCGGAATAGAGGACATTCGCGGACCGCTGCCCATCGGTACAACCGTGCCATGCATCCAATCCCTGACGCTATTCTATGCTCATTGGTTCGCTGTTGGACCGAGGTTTTCCGAAGACATCCTGTGTCAAAACTTAAACCGAAACATACCGCCGCAGATCGCAGAATCCTGGCATTGCCGAAGCTGTCCGTCCCTTGCTATGTTATAAAGGCCGGGAAGTACGAATATGAGAGGCTGCCACCACCATGAAACCTGGCTGAGGTGCAGATTTATTCCAGGAGTACAGCGCTGGCCTCACACAAATGCTCAAGGACAGTGTGTGCAATCCCGCGTCGCATCTGGCCTGAAGGACAATCTCTCCAAGGTTCCTCGCAGCTTCACCTGCTTCAGCCTCGGGCCGAAACTGATGTAGAGCCTCCAGGCTGCGCACGGCCAAACATATGCACAAGCCCGTGCACCAAAGGAGAGAGAGAGAGAGAGAGACTAGCTGACTAGCACCGCCCAAAGCAACATGCACAGAGTCCCAAGTGCCGGAATGAGTACGGTAGCGGTGCTTGGATGTGAATAGCCAAATTAGGAATCGGTCAACAATAGTCTATGGTCTATGCACACTCTAGCGACTTTGGCTGGAAGAGTGCTGGAAGCGCAAGCCCCATCCGGCTTCAGCCGGACAGTTAACTCTGCCTTAGTGAAAAGGATAGCCGGGCCTATGCGGCAAGCCGTCTCCTCGTCGCCACTGTATGGCTCACTTCTGGTACAACATCATCGCAGTCACATGGGTTCAAGTACTCGGGTCATTCAATGCATCATCAGTTCGACCAGCAACCGCCTCAAGCCGAAGATCAACGAACATGAGCCGCAAGATGCCGAGAGGCTCCTCGAGTAATTGGCGGTCAGTCTATTCAGGATGCATCCCCACACGGCAGATACCCCATCGAGCCAAGTTCAGATTGAATTGGGCCTAGCTGAGGATTCAAGCTGCAGATGTTGAATGCCTTCTTGTTTTTGGCCCTTGTTGGCTTTCTGTCATGACGTCAAGCGATGGCGTGCCCCACCCATCCCTCTCGTGCTGCAAGCGTCTGCACGGTCTCCGGAGTCCGCTGGCGCGGTAGGCTCACCCTGGTCCGCAAAGATCGTGTGTCCTGCCCTCGGCTCATTCGTGGGCCAAGTCAGGCTAACAAGCGACACGGCCAGTCAAAAGAAGTCGGAAGACTGTTTCCAGGTTCACCCATGGTTCTGCCTTTCACCGTGTGGAGGGTTGCGCCCCTTCCGGTAAAGGGACTGGAGGAGTGAAATCAAGTGTTGTCTTCTTGACAAAGTGTAAGGTGCCAACATGTCGCGTCTCCAAGAACAGACATTAAAGAAACGTTGAGCGCATTCGGAGCCTCTCCCCGAATCCAATTGCGGTGTTGTGCAGCCTGCGCAAGTCTAACACAATGATACGGGCAAGATGGGCAAAGCTCAGCTGGAACACGGGCACCAAACGCAGATGCGTCACTTAGTCTGCTGCAGCTTTGGTGCATCAGGTCCACGAGGGATCATCTGGCACGGGGCATGCATGCTCCCGCTTCGGCAGTTAAGCAGTCATGTTCCGACGTTTGCTATCAGAGTTATCAGAGCACACAGCCTCGAGAAGCTTTGAGAACGAATGGCCCTCGCGCAGACCTGTGAGCTGCCATGGGCAGCACAGATATGTGCATGCTCTGGCTTCTGACCATGACAAGCACTTGCCGCATGCCTTCTATGACAAAGAGCCGTGAGCCTAGGCAAAGCAGGACCATGTTCTCCACGCAGGCACGCAGAAGGCTGAGCACAGACAAGACATGAGGTCATGAGGTTGCGGCGCCCGTCAAGCACACAGAAGCCGGACAGCAAATCCTGTTGCCGTAAGGTTGGCACATCGCCAACAGCTGCAGATTTACAAGTGCCCTGGCACACAGTCAGTTCTTGGGTTTCACACCAAATGAGGGTCGGCTTGCTCCTCGCATGACCTGCCAAGCACTGCTGCCGAGCTTCCAATCTCGCGAGGAATCTGGGCGAATAAACCAGAGCCAACGGGAAACCCACGCCAGCATCCCATCAAGACAAGCCATCCAAAACACAGCTGGGGGAATCACAACTCTCGCAACAAGAACTCGCCGTCCTCGCGGTTCCGTATACGGCATCTGCCACATCAACATCACGGCACTCTGGTGGCAGCTCCTGTGGACGAAGTCCTAGAAGAGCAGCATTGAGCTCGTGGAAGCAAGTCAAAACCTCAGCTAGTGGCGAGATTGATTGTCTGCCGCTTCATCGGGCCAACAGTTAGCGGCATAACAACTCCCAACAGCTGCGAGCGCAGCTGCTCTTGTAACCTCTCCGTCGTTGGCCTACCGCGCAGACTCACGACCAATTTCGCACGTGTCACATTTGCCATTGCAGGACCCACCCGAAAAGCCGTGAAGCACCAACACAGACCCATGCTTCCAGTTGCAAAATGCGGGATTTCATCGGCCTCAGAGCAGAGGAGAAAGATGCGACCATAGCGCTCGAAGCGACAGTCCAGACCTTTGATCAAGGAGGCTTCCAATGGTGCTCCGGCCGATCTGGTTCAAAAGCCCTTGAACTCGCCTAGGACCTGGGATATTACATCCTCATCCACCAGCGACGCGTGACAGGTGCCGCCCAGTGTCATCACAGGTTTCCATGGCAAAATGCCTCCTCTCGTTTTGCTGCCTTTAGACCTTCTTCAATCGGGGCCCATGCCACCTAGCGCACCCGGCAGCACGGCCTTGCTGGAATAGCTGAGCAGCAAAGACAAAGTGTCAGTCTGCTTTTCCAACTAGTGTGAACCCGGCAAGTTGAGAGCAAATGCGGATCAGCAGCCTGAGTCAGCTCCAGCGAGGTAGCCTGAGTGCAAGTGCCAGCCGCCGAACGTCGCAGCACCGACCCACGGCCATGGCCTGTGCATCCTCAGCCTCCAAGAGCTTCGTCTCATCCTCCGAGTCACTAAAGTCGCATATTTGGTAACCCTCGCTATGTCCATCTTGCAACCTGAGGCCTTGGGCCTGTCAGAAACAAGACCACCGTGACCTTGTTCGGTCCTCTGCGGCCTCTTCTGCACTTCTGCGCCAGGGCCCTGCCACCTGAAGCTTGGGCGATTCACTCACGACCCTTTGGCAGACTACACCATGCACTGCCATGTCAGCGCGGTGGTTGTAAACTCGAGACTCCGGCATCACCAACCTTCGCGCGACTCGGAGTCCCCTTCGGTGCCCACTGAGTCGTCACGGCGGTGGGGGACTTAGTCAACTTGTGGTTCTAGCGTTCATGAACTAAAGGTGGCACACGTTCGGGCGCAAAGGCGGCCACATCACCGAGCGACTTTGCAGTGAAGACCTGCAGAGTTGCAGAACAAAGCGCAAAGCAAAAGGATGGCCAAGGCTTCGACACTTCCGTCTGCTTTCTCGGTAGCTTCCCAATGTCTTCGGTGCACCTGCCGGGTGCACAAGCCCCGCACTGCAGAGCACAAACGCTGGACGAGCCTCCTCCTCCTCTTCTTGAATGTGGTTGTGCAGCGGGACCTTAAACCGATTTAATATCATGAACCTGTCTTGTAAATCCAAGGCCCAAGGCGGATCATCTGAGCGGGACGCTGGGACGGCTAGTGCTGCTCGAAGCGTGCATACCTGAAAGATGCATTGATGTGAGCAAGTCGCTGTCAAGCTGTGGGCAAAGCCAGGCAAGCCGCTGTTCAGGTCTCAGGAATTCTCAGATGCTGGCAGTTCCAAGAGAGTGGTAGTTCGTCGTGTCTTCACGCTTGCTCAAGCCTTCTCTTCTCGCGATTTTTTGCCGACCTGTCGATTGTTCATAGCTTGAAGCTTTCTGGTGAGCCTGCGTAAGTCTGGGTCGGCATGCGGGCGCCTTCTTCGTCCAAAAGCCCCGATGCATGAAGGCTGTCCACACCTGAGTCTGAGGTGTACGAAACAGTTCACTGCCCCTCCCTGGCCCTCCCTTGCCCACTCGGGCATTGGCTCAAAGCTTCGGCCTGATCAAGGCTTTCAACAGCTTCCTAGCGGCTGTGCCGCTGGACACCATTGCACATGTGTCGCAACAAACACAGGCTCCGAATTTGCAGGGGAGGATGCAGGAGCGGATATCATGGTGGAGAGGCTTGAGTGCCGGAAAGTTATGCTGTTGCCTTTTTCTGACTTCGTTTCCTCCCAAGACACACGTGGCTGCATTAAAGGGGGGCCGTTGGCTCACAAAGAAACTACCACTCCGGACATGGCAGGCCAGGCTGCACGACAACGGGTCCAGAGAAAAACCAAGTCAACACATTTTTCGTGTTTGCATCGTTTTAACAACAATTGAAGTGCTTGTTCAAGCCCCTTGTCCGCTTGGAGCGTGAATCCAAGCAATGAAAGCAGGTGAACATGGCGTGCGGGGCAGAACTCAGTCTTTCTCGCATGTCGGCAGCCTCGTCCAGATGTCAAAGCTGCTGAGAAAGCTTTAGTTTCAGGGATTCTGCTGGGTCTTGCATCCGGATGCCTCAGACCTTGCCGTCAAGGCCTCCGTTCCGTTGTTGAGCCTGCAGGAGACTTCCCAGAATGTCGCATCCTTCTACCGGGTGCCTTTGGTGCGCATGTTCTCGTTTGCCAATCAAAGACAAAGCCGCGGCGAGGGTTGATCTGTCGAATCGACACCATAGCTTTGCCGGCGTTCGATTTGCACAATGCCAAAAGCCCATCCGTGAGAAATGGCACGGGAGATGGATTTTATTGTTCACCTGGCCTGCCCACGGTACAGCTCAGGACAAAGGGAGAAGTGACTCGTCTTGCGTTGTCATCGCGAGTCGGGCTTCAGTTTTTGGGTATGTGGCTTCGAGGAAAGCGTGAACCGGTTCACTCGGTAACAATTTCAACGAAAACCAAACACAACAGTTAAAGACACATGATGAAGGCACCAGGTTGAATGAAGTGAGTTGCTTGAAAACTATGAGTACCAATCCTTTGTCCAGAACTCGAGCATGTCCAATCAGCCGCCAATGAGCAAGCTGGACTGCTTGTCCTCGGGTTCTCAATACCTGAAATCCTTCGAGCATTCTACTTGGGGAGCAGCGCGGGGGGGGCACATTCCACTTGAAGATTCAATGTGTTCACTCCTGCTCTCGCTCCCCTCTCTGAAATTGGTCCTGAGATCCGATCCCGGCGTTTTTTCTTGTTCCCACGACTTGGGCAAACATCAGCCCGCAAGGACAACTCCAGCCTTGGAGCTGCGAGAGAAAAGAAAAGCTCTCACGTGCCGCGGCTAGTGGCTAGCCCGAATCATGGTGCCAAGGTGCGTCTCTGACCTGGCAGAAAGCGATCAGATGTCTTACGATGTTCCTGGGTTCATAAGCTCCGACGGCAGCACTGCAGCAAAGGTCCCAAGGGAAAGCGGGCAACTCCTCGGAGAGAAAGTCTGTGCGATCTTGACGATTTAACACACTCCTTGTCGGTGGCGGGCCGTGGCCATGAATGGGCTGCATTCTGGGGATACTGTCCTGACCTCGGCAAGGGCTGCAAAACGAAGCAGTGAAGAGGCTGCAAGCTGCTGCACGGCGGCAAGCAAAGATGCTAAGCCTCCGTCCTGGGTTTTCCGCCTGGAAAGTAGCACAGGACAAATTGCGTGCCATGTTTGTTCTTGGAGCTGATACAAGCCTTCTGCTGTTTCGGGTCACGATCATGCACCTGACGGGCCGTTTGTTTCATATTCTTTTCGCTCACTCTCTCTCTCTCTCTCTCTCTCTCTGCCTTCTTCTTCTGCCACACAGACAACAAGAGCAGTCGGACTACCCCTCCGCATAGGTCTGAAGCGAACTCCAGTTGGGGGAAGGCTGGAGGATGCTCGAGGGAGCAAGCCACGAAGTGCAACAAAAACCTCCTACATTGACCCCCAGGCGAGTCCCCCTTGTCTTGCTGGCCCTTCGTTCTCTTGCCAGGTGGGACGCGAGAACTCGCCTGTTGTGGGCCATCACAACTGCCGGGTGGAGATCTCCTCCACCGCATGGATGGCTAAAAGGAACATCATCGTGGCCAGGAGGATCCAGTGTTCCCCCCGTACAGACTCTGCTTGGACTCCTTGCAAGGCCTGTCCCAGCTGCTGGACGGCTTGCACGAGGGGAGCCCTTGTGGGAGCCTGCTGCGACGAGGAAGATTCCCCGCTGGAAACTTCCAATGGAAACTGTTTTGAGCCATGTGAGGATGTAGTCCACGTCGTTTTGGATGTCGTAGTAGGAGATATGCATGTCTTTTTTTCTTCGTGCTGGGCGTAGGGGTCGCAGTGCGACCCTCAGGCCATCGGCCCACCCAACTCACCCGATGTGTTATTGAGTGGCTGGCTTTGGTGCCCAAAGACTCCGGCACAGCACTACGTGGTTTGTTCCAGGTTTTCTTGCATCGACCCCCCCTTTCACAATACCAACTTCCAGGCCTCATACCCGTGCCCCTATGGCACTTTTCGGGTTCTCTCCGCAGGAAAAACTTCAAATCCCCACTTTAGTTTAGTGAAGGCCACAGAACACATGGCAATGCACAACAAAAGCTGGCCTTCACTACTGGCACGCAGTCTCGATAGATTTCCGCTCTCACTCCCTACAACAAACTCACAGGCTCAGGACATGTAGCCTTAACAGTTCAAGTGTTTGGCGGTAACCCCATTTGCACAAAATGCGAGGCGCAGGAGAGTTCGCGGCGTAGTTGGTGTCCAGGTAGCGTCAGTGTTTCGCGGTCGTGCCTGTCTTCGCTGGTCGTCTCTGCAAGAGCTGGTGCCTCTTGTGGTGGCTGTGCCCCTGCCTCCGTGGAGTCCACCACGCTTTGCCACATCTGGTCGAGCAGGTTCTCCGCTTGGGTGCCCGCCACGTCCATCTGCGTTTGCTGCGGTGGTTCCTCGTCGTCTGGCACCACCACCACCGGGTGCCCCCAGAACTGTGTACTCCACGCTGTCCGCTTTCTTGCTTGCTTGCGTTTGGGAGACAGGGTTGGCCCCTACACTCCCTGCACGCCGTTGTCCGAGTCTTGTGTGAAACTTGTAGCTTGCTCTCACTCTCTCTCTCTCTCTCCCTCTCTCTCGTCAGCGCTGGCAAGGCCCCTTGGCCTCATGCCGCATGGGCTTCAATCTGTTGCGGGGCTTTCAAGGGGAGTGATGCTTTCGATTGATGTCTCCTTGAAGCATGCATTTGGGTATCTTGAACATGTGTGACTTCAAGGACATCGGCCGATTTGTCGGCAATAGTACAGTACAGATTTCGTGGATACCATCGCCACTTCCTTCCCCTGCTCGAACAGGATTGAGAAAGTAGAACCATGACAGTAGGATACGTTTCGTGGAAGTGGCATGTATCTCTTATTATCTCTTGCTTGCTGGCTTGCTTGTTTGCTTGCTTACTGAGGGGTATGGGGTCCCTCAGAAACCCCTGCCCCGAAAGCCTGCCCCCACAAGGTTCGCGATGTCGGTCTTCAAGGCCCATTACGGGGCTGAGCCATACCAACATTCCCCAAATGTGGCTGTTGACCCCCCCTAACACGCAACAAATGACCTAACACAGGGGTGAAGGACTTAGACTTCTGGTTGAGGTGAGGTAGGCGAGCTTGGGCTTTAGCGAAGTTTGCGCTGAACTCTCTCTCTCTTCTTTTCTCTGTCCCTCTCTCTGCCTCCACGACAAGACCTTCGTGTTGCATCCACTCACGCAAGGCATGGGGCGATGCAAGTCCAAGCAGCCTCGAAGCCAGGCAATCTGCTTGTGGACAACACCAACATGAGAATTGAGCAAGAATTGGGCAGCTGCCACACAACCGGTTCGCTGAAATCGGCTGTTGTGTTGTGCGGCCTACAACCCAAGGCCGCCAGGGACTGCAGGGCACATGCATCACGGTGGAAACCTGCTCTCCGAGCTCATGCGCGGGCACGTCTCGCCTCCACAAGAAGATTGGCTGAAGACTCTTTTTTGCGAAAACATGTCGCGGATTTTCTTTTTGCACGATGCGCTGATCTGACACATGCTGAGGTGCGAGCTCAAGACTTGCGATGCGCTGCTCAACTTCGGGTAAATCTCGACATGGACAGCCTGCAAGCTCCAATTTCCGCTCTGTGGCGACAGGTACCGCCTTCGTTGCGGCCATGGCATCGTCACGGAAATCGCTCATTTAAGCGGCTCGAATGCTGGCCTTGCACTTCATCATCTGTCCCATTACACGATGGTCCGAGAAAGAAACACCGAACACTTGCATGCAACAAAAAATAATGACGAAGCCGCATCGAAAAAATGCTGCGCACCGAGAAAAACACCTACTTCAATCCGATCCTTCAGGCCAGGGCTGTCGGGGACACTTTTCCTTCGGGCTTTGAGCTTGCCCTTAAACTTGCGTGACGAACCGCCACGAAAGAACAGAATTGAAAACTGTGCCAGCGTAGATCCCCCAACATTGATAGAGCGCCACGACGACCATGAGAAGCACTATGGCACTATGACCAGGACAATAGCTTCCTTTTCGGCAGCCTGTTCAGAACAGCTGACGGAGTGTCCAAACCGATCCGACGGGCTGAATCGAATCGTAAACTATACTGTCGCCCTCTTCTTACATACGCGAAGACCTTACGGCTGATTACTGACAGAGTGGCTTGGTACTCATCACCGCTGCTAGACATGGACAGCGAAAATGCACCTCGCACTGCTGAGGCAGCCATTGCCTGAGAGGCTCAGGGCAGGTCCCATTTCAGAGCCAAGGAAGGCGTTGGAGGCTCAGAGGGCTCAGGGCCCCGCTCGTTTGGCAAGCCGCGGACCATTTCTACCCGAAAGCACGCGGGCATGAGGCGCCTGAGCACCGGGGAAGCACGTCTTGATATTACGCTCTCGCAACTCGGACATGACGAGGTGTCGGTCTTCGAAAGCACGTCTTGATTGAAGCTTGGGGAACCAAGCTTTGGACTGAAGCATCTCCTCGCTTAACAGTGGCTTGTCCATCAGCACCTTGTCTGAGGCATGCTCTTAAAAATGCATCCTTCTGAGGCCAGTCTCGCAGAATTCTGCATGTTGCATTCCCAGGTCCACGCAAGCACATCCAAGCTGTAAAGCCCAGCAACCTCAGTGCAAGAGCTTGAACCCAACAGGTCGTTGCATGTGCACAGAAACTACACTACACATGCTGTCAAGGCACGCCGAGCGAATCTGTAAAGGTAGCTGCCACCGCGTTGCGCGGGCGAAGCCGTTTTGACCTCAAGCGTGCGGGCACTGTGCGGGCTCTAGCGGAGCTGGCGCATTGCTCCGCTTCGACGCCTCGGCGGCTCTCCAGGGTGGTAAAGCTCCGGACCTCAGGGCAGATCGCAGATCAGCACGCAGACTTGCTCCAAGCAACTGCTTGATTTTCGCTGGGTGGCTCAATGCCTTGCTTCCGGTAAGAAGAAGTGGTCCCAGGCATATCCTGGCCTCAAGACTTGAGAAGAGCGTGTGCTGGGGCTGGTAGGTTCTGTCGTTCACGAGGATGGTGACTTGTCTAGTTTTTCAAGACCAGGTGATCAGTTGAATGCCGGTGTGCCTGGCTGGCAATCTCCCGGCCGCCTGTGCTCTAGTTGGTTAGGACATGGAACAACTGGCTCGCTGGCAGTCTCAAAAGACGTCGCAGCCTCTGAAAACTCGCCACAGCTTTCCGTGTCGGTTTGTAGAAGCGCGTCGTTTAAGGGAATGCACATGCATGCTCAAGGACATGAGCATGAAGGATTGGAGCCGCAAGTGCCTTCCAACGCAACAGTGATGGGCAGCTTGGCTTGCTGGATGCCTTTCACGAAGTCGAAGGTGACCTGCTCATCGTCTCGTCATGTTTATGCTCCCTTTCGCCAAATTGTTGCCTACTACTTTGCAACGCATAGCAGGGTGGTTGAGGCTTTGGCATTAAAGCTTCCCAGGTCCTTCTCAACACTTGCCGTTTGCGCACCTCGTGGGCCGTCAAGCACTGGGAAGCGAAGCTAGTCAGGGCATTGCAGGTGACATCATCTTTGGAGGAAGCCCAGCTTGCCGTCTAGTGCTTCTGCTGAAAATGCTCGGTACGCAAACACTGGGGCTGGGAGAGACTAAACTCCTCGGTCGACAGATCTTAAGGAGTGGGGATGGCCACTGTCGCTTCATATGGTGGGTCCCACAACCAGCCGAGAGGCTTGCAGAAAGGAAACTGTTCAACACTTGTCTGACTCTCGCACACTGGATGCAAAGACATGATGGCCTCGCAACCGAGACTGGCGAACAGCGGTGTAAGTTCATTTAGATTTGGGTGACAGTGGAGAAACGTCAGGACTTCTTCCTGATGTGTGCGTGTTCACGAGGGCTTGCGGGATTCTTGCTACGTGTCAAGGTATTCCGGGTCTCGAACTGCGCCCACCTGGACCGGCCTGCAGTACCGATGCCGACACAGGCGTGTTCCTTCGACATTCACATACGTGTGCTGTCAGCCTGGCGCTGCCTGGTCTCGCCAGAACTCAACGACACCTCGAAAAGCAGAGATGCCAGGTACTCTGTTCTGCACTGCCGCGCACCAGTGGGCTTCGTCTTCCAAGCATCGGACTGCTACCGGAGCCGCGAGATCTCCATTAGCACCCAAGAAGGGCCTCGTGGCTCTGATAGCGACAGAGCTTTGGCAGCTTTGTGCTTGTCGAAAGACGCTGCCATGCGAGTCTGAGGGGAGGACAGCGATACGGAACATCCACCGACTGACGGATGAAAGCTAGCCTGCCTCGCTAGCTGTAAGCATTTGCCAAGCTCGCCAATGCAGAATCTAGCAATCTAGTAGCCTGCAGCAGCCTGCGGCCGAGAGGCAGTTGAAGCTTGAAGGCGACGTTTCTGGGCTCGAAGTCCCAAGAGAAAGGCTTGGCCATTCAAGGATTTCTCCTTGCGCAAATGCCTAGGACACAGCAGTCAGCCTTTTACTGGCAGCACGAATGCGTGTTCATGACACTGAGCTGCCCTGCAAGGTGTGCAGGGTCGTGCAAGCTGGCAAGCGGCTATTGCCGAAATTCGGAGTGAAACGCTAACTGCCCATAACTGCAAGGACTTCGGAGAACATTGAGCGCTGCGGCCGCAGGGAAGCTCGATTGGATAAAAGACGCCGCGGTGCAAGCGAAGGGCTCAAACACCTTCCCGGCAAGACAGTAGACCCTGAAGCCCTGGAGGATGAACGGGCCAATCCGTTTCACCTGCTGGGGACATGCAGCGCACGCAGGCTGCGGCTCGCGGCAGTGAAACCATGCACAACGCTGAATGCTTCAAATAGTGTTCAATCCGAAGCAGTAGAATGCAGTAGATACCCCATATAGCTTACATATGCTTACATGATACTTACATGAGTTCCAGCTACTGCATCACCCAACAGCTCAAAGTCTATATGCACGTCTGCGGGAAGGCAACGACGAAGATGCGCGAGCTAGATCTCCTCCTTAGCGGCACATCTCGCCAACACTTTCAAGGTCAGCAAAGAAGCATCAACACGATTCATATGACATGTCTTGTCTTTCATGTGCCCGGTGCTCTCAAGTTGCACCATGACAACTCGAAAGTCGCATAATTTTACTGGCCGCAAAGTGCAACCCAGGCTCACTCTGCACATTCTTGTATATTTGGGCCATCAAGCCACCAGTCCTTTCAAGGAAGGACCGGACCAGGAGAAGACATAAGGATCGTTAGCGACCGGCGTTCTCTGGCGAAGCCGTGTCAGAGTCCAATTTCAACATGCTTCTCAAACTTTGCAGCACCAAGGCCGGCGCACTCCGCAGCCTTTGCCTGCGCCAACCTGGCAAAGGAACTTCTGAAGCACGTCACAACTCCGACGTCACTGGGGATGCTGCGAACTTCTTACTGTCCCACATCTTTGAAGCCTGCCACAAACAGTCAGCAGCGCATCTGTCAATATCGTGAAAGCCTGCACTAGAGTGCTCTGAGGATGGCACAACCTGTTTGTTGTGCATGTCTGTGTTGAGCATTAACCTGCGCTGGGTTATGGCGGTTATGCCGTCATCTATGCCGTGCCGCTACGTCTGAAGGGGCACGGGCGTTGTATAGGCGAGGCCGAAAAGGACCTCGTCTGGTTTGCGATATGTCTGACGCCTGAGCCAAGCGGGCATCACATGAGGGATCCATGGCCACGGCAATCCGTATCATATAGGGGCCCATAGAGCTTTGTTTGAAAGACGAAGATATCTACACTGTCAACTTGCTATACACACGCACTTACTGAGTCGACCATGTAAGCCACTTGGTGACAGCTTACGAGCAATCTTCGGAAGGCAAAGCAAACAACCAATCATGTTATAAGGGATGATAGGCTTGTCAGGCTTGTTACTGGTGTTCCATTGGCCTCGGCGGACATGCTAAATTACATGAACGTGACAAAAATGCGATTAGAATTAAAACCACATGTTGTTAAACGTGCTTGAAAACGTGTCTCGCTTCTCTCACGTTTTTCGCAACCCGTCGTTCGCGTTTTCTTGACTTGTTCCAAGGGGAAACGTCTTTTGGAGTTTTACGGTTCTTCACGTTTTTTCATGTTTCCGCACATCCTTTGTACGTCGTATTTACAATTTTAACAACCATATTCAGCCACCCCAAAGCGAGCGCCGACTTTGATGATAGGCAACTACGTAAAATCTTCTGCATGCTGCATACTGGCCGTAAAGTGCGCAAGACCAAAGCAAACACACCCCTGGTTCACCTGTTGTTGCAGGCGGGCACCCCAGCCCTGCGTGGCTCTTCGCTGCTCTGAGGACGGGTCTCCTTCTCGGGAAGCATCGATGCCTCGAAACCTGGTTTCAAGAGGCGCTTCCCCAATTGCCACGCAAGAGGTGCACGACTAGGGCGGCTGACACGATAGGAATGCAGCATCCGCAACCTCGCAGTGAGGCATGATAATTACACGAAAGCGACACGAAGCATCACGAAGGCTAGGGCGGCTAGGCCCGGCTAGGGGCTGGAGGAGTCAGAGGCCGATGCAAGCGCTTCTGCGAACGCCTCAATGACCCGCTGGACAGGGTCAGCCTGCGTCCACCGAAACGCAGCAAGACGGAGGCAGAAATGCACTGCCTCGAGCTGCGACATCTTGATTGCATTGGCGAAAAATGAGCGCATGGCCGATCTCAGTTGAAATGCATGAAACAACAGATAGTCGTTCTGTCCCTCAAGCACACCGCATCCAACCATTCAAAGGTGCAGACACAAACAAATTACCGTTGCTCTTGTCATCAGCGGTAGACGACACGCCACCCACCATGCCCAAGATCCAGTCCTCGGTGCTTCACAGAAGGAGGACGGGACACTCCAATGGTAGCATGGACATTCAAACAGCATGGGTTCACTTTGAACCACAGAGGCTCAATGCCAGCTTGGGGGCGGACAGTTCGGCTCATCCGTCTTCTGATGGACCTAGCAGTGCCAAAACTACGTCGCGAGGGTTCACACTGGACCGATTGAGCTTGGAACTGAGATCGAGCTCGGGGTCGCGAAGAATCTGAAGTCGCAGCCGGCCCAGCCGAATTACTCCGTGATGACCTGAAAACACAGTTACTACTCTTTTCAAAACTCTTTTCCGCAGACAAAATCGCTGCAGCAAAAACGACATGACATTCCCAGGCCGCATGTGCACTATGTTCGCTCTGCTGTCCGAGCACGACAATTACGGTAAGTAGAGAACTGCCGGCTGCCAGGAGAGCTGGCCGCGCTTTCCTGCGCGCGATGCAAACTTGCCTAAACCCTGATTTCCTGCTTCCTATCCCCCCGGGGCTTGATTCCCACATGCATCAGAGAGGCTCCGCAAAATGCAAAAACAGATGTGCCGCCTCTGGGATCTCCAAGGTCTGCCTCCATTCCACACGCCTGTGCTCACATACTCGAAGCTCGAAGGACTGGACAGCTATGCCTGTTCAATGTCATAATCGTAAGTGTTCCATTCCACACAGCTTGGCTCCTCACCATTCAGACTCCCACAACTTCGTGTATGCCTAGCGGGCATGGCCGGCTGAAGGCGGACGAAATCTGTAAGTCTGCGGAGCCTTGAGCAGCTCCTTGCAGTGTGGCTTGGGGCTGCCTCAACCGCCAGCCGCTCAAGTGGCAGTGGAAGCGCGTCTTTCACAAAGCATCTGCAAGTGTAGAGGCTCAGCCACACACTCAGAAAGCGGGCGAGGTTCTGCCTGTCAACCTCAGACTACACATGCTCCGATGCCCAACGAAAGTGATTGCTTCTGGGCAAGGTACCAGGGCGCAGTGGGCCGCCTGCAAATAAGCCCAAGCCTTGAGAACATGTTGAGATCTCGTCTCAAACGCTGCCATAGCGTAGTTTGCGGCTCCGCTCATGGCTGTGCTCTGGCCGCGCCTTCTGCTCCACGGTCAGATCCACATCAGGGGAGGGCTCTGGCCTGCAATTGCTTTGCGGCTTTGCACCGGGCACCAGCGGCAACAAAGGCTGCCGACAAGGAGATGTCAACGGCCAGTTTCTCAACCTCGGCTCACTCTCGGCTCGGACCGTGACTTTTCGAGCCTGCAGCTACCAAGTTGCCGGCCCCTGTTCCTTTAAAGCCGGGAATAACAAACAGATCAAAGATATTGAGAAGGAGATAAATTTGGAGTTTGTTCGCAGTGTTGTGCCGGTCTCCTGCTGTGTCCTGCATTTCCTGTTCCGCCTCCAGTGCGCCTTGTTTCTACCGTAGGGGGCTAGGACGGCTCTTGCCTGAGCCCACACCTGCCCGTGAGAGACTTCCGATAACAAAGCACGAGGCTGCTCCTCGACTACGGGCGGAGTCGCAGGCACTCTACAAAGCTTTGAACGGCTTGGTTTCATGTGCCATGTCTGCGGTTTATCATGACATATTACTATAGTGCCGCTGATACCGTCACAAGCAGCAGTGTATACTACTGCCAAAGCCTGCGGAACAACAATGCTACCAACTCAAGGGAGGCAGTCTTCCACTTGGTTAGGTTTGGCTTCGCTTGACCAGCGCAGGAACGAGGCTTGGAGGGGAGGGGGTGAATTATCCAGGGCCCCCATGCACAGCTCCAGTGCACTACTCCAACGAAGAGAAACAAACAACATCCCGCTAGTTGTGACTCGGCCCTAGAATGCTAAATGGTTTTCGCGAGCCAGGCATGTCGAAGGGGTTTACTGTGACGACACGCGACTGTAGCTGTCAAGCCTTTCAAGATATGAGGACATTGTTTTTCTAAGGTTGTAAAAACTGGATGAAAACATATGACAACGGTGACATAGGTACTAACTAGACACCACGTGCCTTTACGGTTTTCAAGCACTATGCCGCCATAGGCTGGGAGAAGTTGATCGGCCAAGCAAAAGCATGGAAAGCCAAGAATCAGCAAGACTCCAGCGAGCCAGTAGCTAAGAAGTCAGAAAAGCCACAGCCAAGCAGCAACCTGGTCGGAAACCGGCAAAGCCATGAAAGCCTGGAAGCCATCTCTGTCAAAGAGCAGAGGGTCTAAGAGACCGGGAAGCCACAACGCCAAATTCCAAGGAGCAAGCCAGCGAATACGCCATAAAACAAAACATCACCGTGGAAGACCGGATTTGTGCTGGGCGCGCTGCGGCTATTCGTTGTCGAGTGCCTTCAGTGTTGCTTCGCGCACGCACCTGGAGCAAGCGATAGGTCTCTGGGCTCTGTGCAACGCCTCCGCCGCTCCAAGAAGCACACGTCGGCACCATCTACTTCCATCATCTTGCCCGTTGCCATGGATTTGAAATGGACCTTGCAACAAATTCTGGAAGTTGACCACATGTTCCTGCCGTGACTTGCACGCGACTTGCTTGCTTCCAGGTCAGAGTCAGAAACTGCAGGTCCTTCACCCGAAGAGAATCGGAAGAGCAAAGCTTAATGAGGGCAACCAAAGCAAGTACTGTAGATTGGTGCCAGCGTCATGTTCTCCAAGGTGCCGGCTGATGTTCCAGACAACACTGCCGCAGGTGAAGTAGTCTTTGCCTATGTAGACACAAGTCACAACCAGCTTTTCTCCGTTTGACGCCGGCTGAGTCTGTGGCCACGAAGCGCATGGAGGTGTCCGATCCTCCGTCGCCTCTGGGCTCCACAGCCCGACGGCAAGAAGTCCTTTGTGCTCCCAGAGCAGGTCCTGGCCTTTCTGCAACAGCCCCACATCCCCGGATGGCAATACGCCAAGCCTCTCAAGCTTGTTTGCAAGTAGCGAAGCTTGAGACCGTCAGACAGGATTTGGAATGCGAACGCTGTCGCAAAGGCTAGGGGGAATGCCAAAGCGCGCGTCCATCTGCGGAGTCCAGCTTGAAGCCCACTCGGCCTCGAGAATCTTGGAGGGAATGCAGCAGGCTGACATTTCACGTTGTGCTGACGTAAGCTCACGGCAGTCATTCTTCAAAGCGGGACCCTTAAACTCAATGACCTCAATCGACCAGTATTTCAAATTTCCCGCGCCAGAACACAACGACACGGTGCTTGAAGGTGGAATCTCAGACCATTGCAAACGCCGCAGCTTGCGTTCGATCGGCTGCATTGCACAGCACTTGCGTGCCTCGCTGCATGAAGCCCTGTGTTGTGTCTTGTGGTTCGAAGATGTTCGAATATCGAACTCTCACAGCTGGGACAATCTCAGCAGCTGGCCATCTTTGACAGCCATCCTGCAAGGGAGGTGCACGGCACACCGGGATTTTGTCATTGCACATGGCCTACGGCACTGACACAATGTGACGAGAATGCGGCAAGCCATACAAGCAAGGCAATCGCACACTGAAATAAAAAGCAGTGTCTCCATCGACCGGTATGGCCACGAAGATAAACCTCATCTGTGTGGGCGAGCGAATCGGCAGGGAGGCACATGGGTCTCGATCCAAAGCCTGGAAAGAAGGACTAGTACTCGTACTGACAGCACTACCAACTACTGCCACTCTACTGCTCCTGCTGCTGCTACTGCCTACTACTGCACTACTTTACTACTCTGCCGCTACCACCGCTACTACTACTACTACTACTACTACGACGACTACCACTACGACTACGACTCCGACTACTTACTACTACTACTACTACTACTACTACTACTACTACTACTACTACTACTACTACTACTACTACTACTACTACTACTACTACTACTTCTACTACTACTACTGCTGCTACTACTACTACTGCTACTACTACGACTACGACTACGACTCCGACTCCGACTAATTACCTACTACTACTACTACTACTACTACTACTACTACTACTACTACTACTGCTACTACTACGACTACGACTACGACTCCGACTCCGACTCCGACTACCTACTACTACTACTACTACTACTACTACTACTACTACTACTACTACTACTACTACTACTACTACTGCTACGACTACCACTACGACTCCGACTACTTACTACTTACTACTACTACTACTACTACTACTACTACTACTACTACTACTACTACTACTACTACTACTACTACTACTACTGCTCCTGCTCCTGCTCCTGCTCCTGCTCCTGCTCCTGCTCCTGCTCCTGCTCCTGCTCCTGCTCCTGCTCCTGCTCCTGCTCTGCTCCTGCTCCTGCTCCTGCTCCTGCTCCTGCTCCTGCTCCTGCTCCTGCTCCTGCTCCTGCTCCTGCTCCTGCTCCTGCTGCTGCTTCTACTGCTATTGCTACTGCTACTGCTACTGCTACTGCTGCTGCTAACTCCTACTGCTACTACCACAGCTACAGCTACCGCTACTGTTACTCCTACTGCTACTGCTACCACCCTCCTGAAAACAGCCTATCTCCCCTTACAAGCCCCCGCACCCCCACACCGCTCTGCCAGAGTCTAGAAAGCTTCGCTCCCTCTACAGCTGCGCGTGATCTGCCTGGCTTCTTCAGGGCGCTGGAAGTCTTTGGCGGAGGGAGGGCGCAAGACACAGTGCCAAAGTAGACCTCAAACCCTGTAGACGCAGAGACACGGATAATAAGTGGAGAGAGATACAAAGAAAGAGAGAGAGAGAGAGAAGAGAGAGAGAGAGAGGAAAACAAGAAAGAGAGATCCGCCGACCCAGCCCTGCGGCATGACGCACCTCGATGAGCTGTGCGGCTTCATTTGGTCCGTTCTGTGCGCTGCCGTGCCGTGCAGTTTGCGCGAAGAACTGCTTGCGTGCTTCTTTCAGTACCTTCTTCCTAGCCGCGTTCCTTCGGACCCCAGGTACCACACGCCGGTTCCAGTCTCCAGAAACATGACATGCAGTTCAAATTAGTGACCATAAGTTCTGTTGCTCGGGCATACCACCTCGCTTCGAAGAATTCACGAGCCCGTGCGCATCCTGTGCACGCTGCATCACCGCGTGCCCTACCAGTAAGCTCGCTGCTGTGTCGTGTGGCTTGATCTGGCCACTCAAACCGACACTGTCCAGAACCTCCTGGCAAGGATTCAAGCACAATCGCAGCCAAGCAGAAACATTCAAGAGATCATCGTACCAAAAATATGTGTGACTTCTGCAAAACTACCCTTGAAGCCGTAAATATCTCCTCTTTGTGGTTGTCTTTCGTGGCCAACATTTCCAATATCTCGAAAAGCGTCCATCTGTCGCCCTCCTGCATATGCACTCGAAATGCTCGGCCCTGTTGGGCACCTTCTACCCTGGCAGAAGATTATACTAGACGGACGTGACTGCAAGGCGAACGGCAGGTGAAACAGTTGCGAACCTCAGCGCCGAAGCCAGCCGATCTCTCCATCCTGGTCCTGAGATTTGGGGTGCTGCAGGTTCTCCTTGCACTTATGGCGCAGACACTGCTGCGACTTTCCTTCTCGACTGCCCTTTTTCGTGTCTGATTTTCATGAAGAATGCCCCGGCTTCACAGCAACGATCCGATCAAAAAACTCTGCTCTCGAGCCTGAGCCAGGCTTCGTGGCCTCCTTCCTCGGCAGCCTGAGCAAGAATACAACAAACCAATGCACTGGCGCCAAGGTCACGCACCTGTCCGGATCGATCTGGTGCCTGGCCGGGGGGTGTCGGCTCCAACTTCAGCTGCAGACGGCGGTAGCATCAGTGCCCAAAGCCTCGGAGACCTCGTCCACGACAGTGCTTGTGTCGGCCTCCTCTGCAGACCTCTTTGTTGCAAGGGCAGTTTCCTTTATTCGGCAATCCTGCACTTTGTCAGACTGTGGTCGCGACCACGGTGGCGTCGGCTCCTCTTAAAGAAAAATCGGCAAGGATTTGCTCACACTCTTCATTGCGTCCTCACTGCGTCCGCTCTCACCTGCGACAGTCTGCAATCATTCTGACGGATTGTGCGGATGGTTCCGCGCCGAATCACTCACCGAGACTGTCGATGGAGGCTGGGGCATGCAAGATGCGTGCCAGATTTGCTACAAGACTTTCGGGTCATGCCCGAATGGCGCCTTTAAATTGACTAGGCTGAGAACAACGGAATTGCTCGACTTGACCACTGGAGACTGAGCTTAGAGACAAGACCCCCGTCGGATGACTCATCCTGGGCCGGCCTCCGGCAGCGCTCTCCTCGGCAGGACAGGTCATGTTAGAAGGGAGCACGTGGAGCCAAAGCTCAGATCGCGGTACGGGACCGAATTTGACAGAGGCCTGAACTGTCTTTGCCTCTGCATCTTTGTGTTCCTTTTCTTCCTGCATCGATTCAGCAACCTTTGGCAGTTCTCTCCTGAGTCGGGCTGGCATAGCCTGGCCTTGTCTCCAGAAGTGCCTTTGGACCTGTCCTTCTTCTTCTTCTTCGGCTTTGCATCCCTTAGCACCACGAGAGCGCAGGCTCTGTCTTTGCCAGCCCCTAAAGATCTCGCAAGATGAAGCTGCCATAGGCAGGGCCTGTTGCTTTCCGGGATCAGCAGCACTGCAGGATAATTTAGGTATCGTAGAACCCTTCCTCTAGCTCAGTGGTGGATGCATTCTGCTGCCTTCTGCCTTCATTGCTTAGAATCCTGGTCTGCGGAAAGTGTGCCAAGATCTCAAGTGCTCTGGTCGTGAAGCGATCGTTTCACAGAGCTCCAAGGCCGTCGCAGGGGACCGTCTGCAGCCAAATCCGAGGACTGGGACTGTGCTGACGAGGATCGTGGCTTAGTTCAAGAGATTCTCTTGACAAGGCAGGCTCCAAGCGTCCCAGGCTGCAGACTCTGGGCTGTTCCTTTGAGCCAGCACTTCGCGACGGCCTTTTTGAGGCCAGAGGGTAGGTCGTTTCGAGACATCACGTCGCTACATGTGCCGGGAGGGCCCAGACGGGGTCGAAGCAGAGGACGGGCGCGACTTGGCTGCTGCGCTTGGCTTTGTTTGCCTGATGCGCAATGATGACCGGTAAGTCGAGGTACGTGCTGCACTGGGCAGAAGAACTGAGCTGCCAGCAGAACAGGAGCACCGCTCACATCAAGCCATGCGACACTACCTGAGTCGGCTGCGACAAATGGTTAGTAAGTGATGGTATAATGTAAGTGGACGAGGTCTCTTGACTATGATCGAGAAGGCTTCGTGCTTTATCCCGTCAAGCGAAGAAAGACAGCAGCCATGCATGCGGGACTCGCCTGCGCCAACAGCAGGACCGCTGTCGACCCTGCATCTGACTCAAATGCATTTTTCCGAATGCAGCTAACCGCAGCTGAACACTCGTCATCGTGAGACTGCTCTGTCGCAACTCGGCATGACAAGGCGAGTCTATCACAACTTGACAAGTGTCACCACAGCCAGCATGCTCAAATGTTGTCAGCTTGGCGTTGCTGTCGTGCGAGATCGCGGCATCCACCCTGACCAACCCAGCGTGGGCCTTGGCAAAAGAGCATTGCTAGGCCCCTAGGCATCAATCTTCTGTTGCACGTTGATGCTCCACAGGATCTGGACAGATGTGGTCCATAGTTCGTAGGCCGACGACACCGACATGCTCATTGATCGAATGGTAGTGAGGTCTCAAACCATCAAGCAACCCATGGCATTACCAACTGCGTGACACAAGTCTGAACATGCAAGAAGGTGTTGAAGCTCTTCGAACTGCAGCAGATTTTTCGACCGCGACTGAAGGATCAATATGCATGGCGAGTGGCCCATCGCCAGCGACAGTGGCACGCGAGCCAGCCTGTCGCGCCCGCGCAAGATCGCCCAATTTTGACATTGAACAAAGTTGCCTCTGCCCGGAGTGCTGCAGCCTGGGAACACAGTTGGTCCAGGGATCTGCACCTTTTTCCTGAACTTGGCCAGGGACGAGAGTGCCGTTCCGCATGGTGGGTGCAAAGCAGTCCCACCTCAGTAAGTGCTATGGCAGCTTGCAGTAGGTGGACCTTCTCGCTTGTCACGACGTCCGCTTGGGGCGCTGCAGCACAAGCTTTGCTAGAGCCTGATGTCACGTGTACCGCACCGGACACTGTGTCTCGCTTGCTCCGCTACAAGCAGCACACGGGGAGCTGGCCCCCAAGACAATTGCTGGTGATGCCATGTTTCCTGCAGGCACCGTGCTGCCAGACCTGCAGGTATGCAATGAATCAAGACTCTCTGCAGCAGTATACAAGCTTACTTCAGACTGCAGCAAACGCCAAGAACAGTGCACAGAGCACTGGTCGAGAAACGCGAGGCCTGAGAACTTAGCTTAGGAAACACGCTTGCCATGATCTACCGGATTGCTCAGCCCGCATCTTGACGATGCATCTCCACCGGTCTGCCACCTCAGACACAGCATGACACAGCCACGGGCCAGAGATGCAACATGTGCAACATCGCAGCTGCCCGCTGGGTATCGAGCAAACTTCCGGCATCATTCCCAGTCAAGTCGGTGCGCCCTACAAGAAGTGATCCCGACCTCGCAGAGGGATCATCGAAGATCGGTGCATTGCACGCAATTTTCCAAGCAATGCAGCAGCAATTCTAAGCGCTTTTTCAGAAAGCATAGCATTGCTCGGCCCCTAGACCCGCTCTATCCTCGTAGAGGTGGAACCGCACTTGTGTGCCCGAGGACAGCGTTTCGCCGTTCAACACATCTTGTGAATGTACATAAAGCTGCCCTTTGTGGGCATACGCCTTGGGATGGTTGACCGCATGCTCTGGCTCTATCCAGCCCACCTGACCCTTCCAGAACACCACTTTGCCAGTAAGAGGCTCTGCACTGATGCGAGTCCGTGGCAAGTATGGGCCAGAGGTAGTCCAGCGCGGGCTTTGACCCATTTCCATGGTTGGTGCGGGGGCATTGGGAGGTACAACCTGAACGGCTGCTACCAAGTCAAAGACATGCTTCTCGGCACGGATGATGCTTTGCAGCTCGCCCTCAATAATGCAGGGACGTTGGCCTCGGACTTCCTCTCGCAGCAGCTGGATCTTTGCATTGGATTGCTTGCGGATTTGCTTCAGTACCCAGCCCTGCTTACCAATGACCATTCCTGCAGCTTCTGCACGAACGAATAGAACAACAGCAGTCTCTGTTGTGGGCTCTTTGCCCTCTGCGCGCAGTGCGTCCATCAAACGCCCGTGCACCAACTCTTGCACAATTACACATTGGTTATAGGTGCCGAATATCACGATGCGGTGGTGTCCAATGATTCGGTGCTGTCCCACCGTCTTTCGTGAAATCATGCGTACCTGACAGCCCAAAGTTGAGGAAATCTGCTTCAGTTGTGGGCCGCCCTTGCCCATGATCGTGCCAGCAAGCCGGTCAGGCACCACCAAATGCAGCTGCATCACTTCTGGGTCAGAGCTCGGTGGTGAGACTTCGCCTGTCGTTATCATCGAGATGGAACGCTTTGGAACTACCTGGAGGTTCTGTGGCACATCAACGCGTGGAGGAACTATGACTGGACTCACCGGACCCTGCTCTGTAGGAGCTGGTGGCTCTGGCCCTGGCACAGCAGCTCCAGATTCAATTTTAGCTGTGTGGCCCTGGCCCGCACATGCTTCACTGGGAACTGCCTCTGCAGGTGACTCTGTGGGTTTCTTGGCGGGCACGCTTGCCACCGGCTGGGGTGCAATCGGCCGCATGGAGGGTGAGGCACTTACAGATCGCGTCCGCTTCGGTTTATCCGACTTCTCAGCTTCATCTGGAGACTCCACTTCGTAACACAGCCATTCGTGGCGGCTCAAAGTTGCCAGGTCCGTTCGCTGACGTGGCTCCAGCTGCAGAAGTCCAAGCACCACGGACTTTGAGGTGTCACTGATCTTCAGCTTGCCAACGATCATCTGTAATTCTTCTTGCTTAAACGGAATCTTTGAAAAGGGGAAGTGCCCTGCAAGCAGGACAAAAAGGAGTACACCCAAGCACCAAAGGTCGGAGCTGAAGTCGTGCGAGTCCTCCCTGAGAACCTCAGGAGCTGTGTATGGCCGCGTGCCGACCGTAGATCGAGCTTCGCTGAAGCCAGCTCCTATTGCCTCCCAGGGAGACATCACTTCACGCCAAATGTAGACTTTTGACAAGGGCACTCTCAGGGGACTTAAGGTGACACATGGATCAGATCTGGAGCTCGCACCTAACTTTCACTAGTCGACCGGATTCATAGATCATGGGAATAAGGCATCCTCGTATTTCGGGATCGTTGCCCTGCCTTGGAAAGGCCAAAGTCCGTAATCTTCACAGTGTAGAGAATCAGTGGACGTTCACGGCGCTCCCCATGCACTAGAACGTTCTCGAGCTTCATGTCCCGGTGAATGACCCCCTGTCCTCACCCAAAGGCTCCGACTAACATTAATCAATAGCCTTCTGACATCGTCGTTCTGTCAATGATGGCTATGCATAGGTGTTGTCGTCACTTTTTGCAGCTGGGCTCTTTGTGACAGCCAGCAACGACACTACTGCGGGCTCGACGTCTTCGGTCGTCCTAAGGTCCTAGCTTCCTGCCTTGTAGTATGCTGACTGAAACCGCGGGTGCGTCCCCTTGCGCGTGGGCTCCGTCAAGTCTGGATGTTTGGCACTCTCATCCACAAGGAAATCCGCGTTTCGGGCCGTCTCGGAAACCCAACATCATCACCAAGCAAGCGTCTTCCAAGGCACCATGCAAAAAAGGGAAGGTGGCCATGCTGTGCACTTCACGAGACCGCACTGAATCTTGACAACAAGAACGAGAGGAAGAAGAAAAATTTGAAGAAGCCAGAAGAACAACAGCAGCAGCAGCAACAACAACAACAATTGCAATTTTTGTTGAGCGTTGAGATATTCTGAACGAGCGGGCTTTGCTCATGCGGGCGTATCTGCAGCTTCGATGTGTGCCATGGGGTCTGCATCAACCTGTTACGCAAGGAAGGGGCAACAGAAGAACAAAAACAAAAGAAACTCCAGACCCATGCCACGCCCGGCCTGCCCATGCGATCATCGCACCTGCTTCATCCGCTTCCGGAGCAAAAGACCTAGATGTTCTCGACGAACTGATGTAGTTTTTGCCTAGCCATCAACTATAAAGTGAAAACACAAAAACCTAACCAGAACGAACAACAAGTCCTGTATTGGATCTTCAAAGCAGGAAACTATACTTATGTAGAGCGACGGAAGGAGAGAGTCAACTTCGACAAAACTGTAAAACTGTTGGAGGATGCGGCACGCCTTGAGCACGAGCTTCACGGAGACAGTTCACTTTTCCTACTGTCCCATGATACAAAGCAACGCACTTTTACATGCCTGCGGCGGTCACAACGGCAAGAGCCAACTAGGTCAGATGGGCCGTCACTCTTGGCACCCCTGGATGTTTGGCCCCGTCTGTAACAGGACAATAACGAACACAACTGGAGGCCGCAGCCGAAGCTCGCGACTCCATGACGCAGCAAACAGTTCCGATAAACGGCTGTACCCGGACGCGATGTGGAGCCGTACACAGCCGTACGAAGGTAGACAACATGTCGGGACTGAAAACGTTGGCCTGTTCTTCTGAACCTGAGTCTTGAAAACAAGTCTGGCCCGGCGGCCTGAGGATAGGCACAGGCCAGGTGTTCATCGGGCCAGCATTGGGAGGATGCTTTCAAGTTGCAAGCCGTAGACACGCATGCAGCTTGCCCAACCTCTCCTGTGTCTGACTTGTTCCCAGGCACTGCTTAACAGCGGTGCTGTGCCAAGACCTCTCGACGGTGTCGGAGGAACTCGATCGCACCGGAGGTACTTTCCGAAGCAGACAGCTCGAAAAGTTCAAGCGATCAAGCTGCTACTTGTGAGAAAATGCTCGCAGAGGTGCACGCCAGCAAAACTGCGCAGAGAAAGCTTTTGGCTGTCCCAGGGGCGAGGCACGGTCACGGAACCAGGCATCGTCCTGAAAGCTTCTTTCAAGGCGCCCAAGTTCAGAAAACGGCCAGTTGAGGGGTAGACTGCTCCTTGATGACCCTCGTGCTGCAGCTCCACTCGTAAGTAACAAACGCATTGGCACGGGCCGGAGGCCGGAGGAAAAACACCGAGGCACTGAGCCGCTGTCGGATCGCCACCCGCTATTTTCATCTATTTTCGCAACGCCAAGCGTAAGCCAAGTATTGCTCCTTCCACCGCGCGGACAGGTGGAAACCCTCCCCGCTTGCCTCCAGCTTATCCAGAAATTGCGTTCGCGAGGATCGCGAGGAGGCCCGGCAATTAGGAGACCAACGCTCCGAGAATATGGCTCTGCCAGTCCGCTACGATTCGAGAAAGAAGCCAGCTCCGACACATTATCCGTTGCGCCTGGAGCCCGGTTAACACGAACTGCACCGCCTGCTTTGAACCGTAGCGACAACAACAACAACAACCACAACCACAACAACACCAACACCCACAGCAGCAACGGCAACAGCAGCAGCACCACCACCAGCACCAGCAACAGCAAACAGCAACCAACGACCAACAATCAACAACCAGCCAACAAACAAACAAAAACAAACAAACAAACAGAAGCGCTAACAGACAAACAGCTGATTAGAAAGACGGACAGGCAGGAAGACAAGAAGCAGCAAGCAACACCACCGAAACCACGAAGAACAAGAAGAGGAAGAAGAAGAAGAATACGGAGAAGATAGGAGAAGGATAACTAGAGAAAGAAGGACCGCAAAGATACCAGGAGAAAGACGACTGCTTGTAGCAAGAGAAACCCCAATCACCAACATCTAGATTCAAGATAGGCATCGGGAAGACTACTTCGTCATGTGGCCTGACGTTGGGTGCCAACGTTCACTTAAGCATTCTGGCGCCGCGGTCTCTAGCGAGTGTCACGTGAAACCAGCTGAACCATGTGGTGTAGCTGAGAATTGGTGGAGATTGTCGTACCCAGCTAGCGGATGACACTTCTGCACTGTTCGATCCTTCGGAAAGCATGATCATTGCCAAGACACCGTGCAAGAATGCAAGCCCACCCGCCAGCTGCGCCAAGACAAAAGCAGCCTCACGCTCGTGCAGTCTGGGTGGCTCCCTGTTCGTCAGAACCTCGCATCCGCAGAACGTGGCGATGTGATGGAAGCGCAAAACAAGACTCAGTGGCTACGGTAGCTAGAGCTGAGCAAGGAAGCCCTGCGACTACGGCCTCACACAGCAGCTGTCCACATTCCACGAACATCGGCGACTGTTTGAGGCTTGATTAGGACTAGGCGCAGTGTACAAGTCACCACCACCGACCAGCTCTAGGACCAAGAGAAACCACTCACCTTCTTCGAAGGTATCCACCAGCCTCGACAAACAACGAACACGGATCGATTGCAAGAACACGCAGTGCATGAATGCACAATTGCAAAAGTCAGCTGTGCCGTCTAGCAGAAATGTTCAGATTTGTTGTGAACAGCGGCAAGTTGCTGAACAATGTTTGGGTGCGGTGGAAGACGCTTCAGAATCTCAACTTCCCGGCTCAGCTTCTTCTCCTCGCGTTCTGCATTGGGCTGGAGATGAAGCCTTCGCAGGTCCACCGCTTTGACGGCAAAGCCCGCGGCAAAGCCTCCTTCTGTACCCTTCTTATGGCACACGAAAACTTGGCCAGAGGCGCCTCTGCCAAGTTCGCGACCCCTTCTGTATCCATGGAAATATCGGGGAGGCTCGCCCGCTTTCACCTCCACCAAGTCCTCCTCATCACTACCACCCGTGACGTCCACCACCTCGGTGACATAGTCGTCACTGTCTGCATGAATGTTTACTATGTCCTCCACCTCCATGTGCACTGCCCGCCCCAGTGAACATGAGCCGGTGTGCTCTTGAGCCGATGCACGAAGCCAATTGGCAATACAACAGCTGATAGATGATAATAAGAGCAAGAAGCCTGAGAGAGTTGTCTGAACATGCATCTAATGTACTCCACTTTGAAGCTGTAGTGCTCTGCTTAGCGTTTCTGTAGGCTTGGGACCTGAGACGGGATGTAGCCCCTGGTGAAATCATCTACCCCGTCGCTGAGCAGTGCTGAGCAAGCAGCCTGCTGCCTGCGACCACGCCAAAGTGCCCGTTACCTGAGCACTTGCGCCTTGCGCCAAAGAAACTAACGTGCGACAAGGAAAGCCCGTCTGCCGGTTGAATTAATTTTTCTTCTGTTCATTGCTGATGTTTCCGAGTCAGTGAATTTGCAACTTCGAGTTGTGGTTGTGATGATTTCAGGCATGGCAGTTGCAGATCAGCAGATCCTACCAATGCTAGGCTCCACGCGACAAGGCTTCGGCTACTCGACTTGAAGACAGTGTGCGGCACACAAACACGCACGGAGGCAGACACACGCGATCATCGGCGTACATTGGCACACACGAGATCCGCAATTAGAAGTGCCAGTGCGTTGTCAGCATCGTTTCACCAAGCACGCCAGGCTCTTCCCCAGCCATGCCTTGGTATAAGTGAGAGGTGTCAATTCGCAGTAAGCTTTGGTTTAGAAACAGGGCGCAAGCGCGCGCACACACGCACACAGACATACTTCATTTTGTAGTCCGAGGATGTCCGAAGATTTGGCAGGTCCTTGGCTTTGACATGCTTCTTTGGCTGCGCACTGTTTGCGTTGTTGCTATTGTTCCGGTGAGCCATCGCACGGTGCGGATGCACTTATGCTTATGCTGCAATGGGTTCGTTGGTTTTTGAATCTGCAGGAAGAGCTGGTGCACTCTTACTGGGGCTTTTGGTTCAGACCCACGCCACATCCAAACGAAGGCAAGCAAGGGTCACCAGCCCTCGCTTCTCATCAGGTTTCATAGTTTCATATCTTTTTTTGGTAAGGTCAGGAATCCGATGCCATACACGCTCCATGCACCCTGACGTGGAAAAATCCTTCGCGAGCAAGAGACTGAGCAACAAACGACTGATGTCAGACGATTCGGCCAGCAAGGAGGCACCGTCCGCCTGGCTTGTGAAGCTTTACATGCTGCACAAAGGAGAATCTCTACTCTTCTTTGTTGACATGGTGGTGGCCCAGACTCCAAAAGAGATCCGAGACCGTCTCAAACGAAGCTTTCAGCTCCAGGCGAGGAAAACACCACCTTGGCGGTTGCTCTTCACCTGGCATCTGACCTGGACACACTGCACACGCTACTGGTTCAAAAAGTCATTGTCCGAAAACCCATCGGTGCCAAACCATCGAAGCCGATGCTCCATCTACCAGCAACAAGCCGTTTCCTGGCAGCACGTGTTGCACGCTCCCCACACCGTTCATGAATCCGCCATGACCAAACAAAGCAGCTCCAATTTTTGCAGGTGTCTTTGCAAGTATCAGAGACAACAGCCTGTCGCCCCCGCAAGAGAGCATCCGATCAGCAACAGCTTGGACTCCCCGCCTCACGAGCGAAAAACTGGCCGTGCAGACAATCCGATCTCCCGTCAATCTTGGAGGCAGCGCCAGCTGCCCGAACGCAGTGTGTGGGCACCTGGTTTCCCCAAGAACTTCAAAATGCCCACCAGCTGAACCCTGTGGAAATGGGTGGATACATGCTGCTTGGTTTTTCTCTTGGATCCTGCATCATTTTGTGCTGCTGCCACCGGGGGGGTGGGGGGGAGGGCTGGCTTCGAGGCAAGATACTAAGGAATTCCATCCAAATGCTGTTGCTTTGAAGTAACTACAGCAATGCAGAATGCCAAGTTAGTCCCTCAACAATAGGAATAGCAACAGTAGAGGCAGTGCTCGTGGTGGTGGTGGTGGTGGTGGTGGCGGCGGTACATGCGAAGCTAGCGTCCTGCCCGTGCCTTTGTAGGGAATGTTGGCAGGCTTGGTTATTGCATCCTAGAAGAAGATGGTAAGCCTCTCTCTCTCTCTGCACGCTGCCTGTCCGAGGCTGAGCATTGCCCAGCACGCAAGGAAAAGATTGGATCCTAGCTGCGGAATGGAAAATCGTGCGCCGCTAGGTCTATGGGTCGGCAAGCCACTAACCCTAAAAGGATATGTTGAGTGACAAACTCAAAACCTGAAAGGACACGTCGATTAAGAAACCCGAAACCCCAACAAAACGAGATGTTGTCTAGCCAAGCCCTGACGGAAACGGGAAAGGAAATGTTGGCCCTCAAACCCCAAATCCTAAACATAGATGTTGGTTCACAAAGCCCGAGCCCGTAAAGGATTGACAAGCCCGAAACCTTGAAAAAATGATGGTGTTCTTTGGCAAGCAACAAACCAAAGAGTATGATTGTCAGGTTATCATGGTTGGCAAAGAAAGGGAGATGCTGAACATCATAAGGGTTGGCTGGCAAAGCCCAAGCCCGAGAAGGAGTGACAAGCCCCAAACCTGAAAAATAATGTTGGTGTTCTTTGGCAAGCCACAGGCCCAACAGCACGATCAGATTATCGTCTGGCGACGCCCAAACCGTCAAGGCAGATGAGACAGATTGTGAATGTTGGTTAGTAATAAACCCAAACCCTCACAGACGCCAGACCTTAAGGCGTTCCTGATGAGACATTGGTCCCCAAGGGTTCAAAAGGAGATGTCGAGTAACAAACCCCGAACCCACTGGTAGCGTTCATAAACTTTTTCCTTCGTTCGTGAGTTGTATAATTTGCTCCATTCACGTCTATCGTTTCACTCTTCTCTTGCTTTCATTTGGTTATGTCGTTCCTTTTTATCGTAGTACTTACTGGATGTTTCTCTCATTATGCTGTTTGTTTGTGCTTTCGTTGGGTCTTGAATGGCGTGTTCCCTCCTTTGTTGCTGTCCACGTGGCTGCCTGCAGTTCCCAACAATAAACAAAAGCCAAGAACGACAGCGGAAAGTCCAGTAAGTCATCAAACAGAAATAGCTTCCGCTGGCCCCAGGCGACTCAGGATCTAGCAGATCCGTCCAGCTGGACACCGTGCACCTGCAGATCCTGAGGGTCTTACAGCGGGCTTCTATGAGGGCTTCTACTTGGAGGCCCCAACTCTAGCCCATGCGGTTGCAGTTTGGGGTCCGGGCGCAATCCACCAGCACAGGAGATCCTGTCTCCACCTAGTCGGGCAGTGCGCATACATTCTGTGAAACTCGGTGCACCGCTGCGCCTGCAAACAACAAGCTGGCGTTGATGCAGGCCTGGCCAGGCTTCACAAGAATCAGTCTCAAGGCCCTCGGACTGAAGCTTCTAGCTCTTGGGGCCGATCGAGAGAACCAAGTTCAAGCGCCAAAGCCTGAAGGACCCACCCAACTTGATGGGTCAGAGCGGAAGTCTAAAAGCCGCAACATGAGACGCAAAATGCAAACTAATTCACGCACGAGCTGGACTGTGAGCAGCTAAGATTTCAGCGCGCAGCTCTCGGCAGTTTGGATGATGACCTCGACTCGAGAAACTAGATTCGCACGACATGCTCAGATTCCACTACTAGCGTTACTAGCGCTCGACCACTGATCCACCAGGCGGTCCGTGCAGCTCACCTCGTGATTCGACGCCTCAAAAAATGTCAAAAGCGAGCTGTAAAAAAGGCGGACTGAAAATAGCTGAGCCAGGTTGCTTCCTGAATCGCCTGTTAGCGACTCACCTGCTTGCACGGCCATCGCAAGGAGCCACAGAACGTGAAGCAAATCTTTGCCTGCAAGTATGACAGGCTTATCCAATACAAGGGGCTCCTGCACAGGTCATGGCATCAGGTTGCTCGGCTCAAGGCACTCGGCATCTGCTGGCTTATTTCGGCCAGGAAGTCGTATTCCGGAATGTGTCCGTGTAAATGCTTTAGGCGCCAGGGCTCCTCGAGCACAACTTTGCCCTGCAATTGGAGGAACGTGAACCCGTCTGATGGAGCTTCACGCACGGCTGCTCGCAGGTCGCGCCTCAGTACGTGAGCGATCGAAGGGGATGCATATGCTATCATAATCTATCATATTATGCTCTCCAGCGTAGGATTCGAGAAGAAGGTCTCCTTCTGCCATCTGCTCTTATCCACTGTGTATCTCTCAGTTCGCTCGGACCACGGGTGGTTGGCCAGTCTCCGGACTGCAGCACAAAGGACCAAGAACTGGCTTACAAACCGCACGCGAATGACTTGCCCATGTAACAACAACGTGGGACTAAGCTGTTGCTGCGGCCGTGACGAGTTTCAGACCGGGCAGGAAGATTCAAGAGATTCAACTGTGAGTTCTGGCGGCATGGTCGAACATGTCCTGGACTGAAACAATATGCACAAGAAGGCAGCATTCTGTGAAACGATGCGTTCCACAGATCGTGGATTCGTTAAGCGGACTGAAAGAATGGACCGAAAGAGCCCCGGGCGCATTTATCACCACGCGCTGTGGCCAGATCGCCTCGAAGGAGTGTGACATGTGCAGGAGGCCCTGAGACTGAGGCCATGTCAGACTTGCAACGTTTTGTCCGAGCTCGGAGCCGTGAGCTCGGTGCCATGACTCGCAGATGGACTGTCCTGGTGCCTCGGCTCGCTCGCTTGGCTGTCTCGTCTGTTCCTCTCCCCTCCCTTGCGACCGTCTCTTTCTCGCACAACAGCAAGAGAGCTGCCTCTGCGCAGAACTATATCGACTTGCTGGAATCTTAGCCATGAACAAGTCGGTAAGATCTCCCATGCCGATCAAATGTCCCCATGTGCCCCAACAATCGGCCATGTCCGGTCAGCCCAAGGACATGGTCGAGATGAGATGAGTCTGAGTGTGCCGAGATGGGGCTACGAAGGCTGCGATGCTTTTTCCCCGATTAGCTCACCAGCGGCACAATGCTGGCATGCTGCAGGACCAAGCAGGATCAACTTCAAATTTCGCTTCACGACATCAACAGTTCCGAGAACCCGTGCACAAGTTACCTGTATCATGCTACAGGAGAGCCTTGCTCCGCAATCCGGTATACAGACCTACACCTCACGCACCTTGCGCCCTCCAATTTCCGGCAGATTTCTTGAGGTCCCTGCCCCACGGTGTTGGCCAGAGTAACAGCAGCCGCCTAAAGTTCCCGATCTGGAAAAGGCATCTCTGTCTGTGTCTAGAATTCACGTCAGATGGGGGCACTGCCTTTCCAGCCAGGAGGCCTGCCGCAACTTTAAGACTTTAGCCATGTCTTGGCCCTGCCCTTGCCATTAAAATCGCACTGAAACTGTACTGATGAACTCTTGCTGCAGCTGCGGGCTGGGACCACGCTCGACTTGAACTGTGATTGCTGAGGATGGGTCCGGTCGAGGTTGGAGACTGTCGCAAGTCACATCCGCTGTTGGCCCATACACGATTTCGGACCTTGGTTGAATGGGGTGGTGCCGCATTCAACACATGTGCCTCCTCGGCCGAGAGACCAGCTATGGTGGTCACAGCTCGCCGTGAGGATTCTACGAGCAGGCCACCAGCTCCGTTTCGCAGAATGGTGTTGCCTTTTCCGAAAATGCATGACATCCTTCCGTCTTTCAAAGTGTGCAGCCAGGTCCGCGGCCAGTAATGCAGCCTCGACCACTGGCCCGAACCTGGACAGCATGGCAAACCGTCATACAATAAGGAACCGGACATGCAAGAGAAGTCACGGCTCGACTCAAGGCTTTCCCATGCTTTCTGCCTTGTAAAGCTCCCTTTAGCAACACTGTGGTGTCATTGGCAATCACAGTTTACAGGTGTTTTCTGCAGCAAGTTGCTTGAAATCGCTGCGGAATCTGCCGACATCACAAAGGAGTCGAATTCGCAGCAGCTTCTCCCCGCTGCTTCCGCCTTAAGCAAGGAAGCAGAGAGGAGCCGCTGAGGGAGCATGAAAATTCCTGCTTGACCCTCAGTATTGTCATCACATGTCCTGAACTCTAATCAGGGTTTGGCAGACAAACCATATCGGTCTGCAGGGAATAAAACTGTCAACTTGAGGAAATCCAACGGCGCGGGTTGTATCATCCGTCGCTTCTCAATGAACACTTCCTGTGACGCTACAACCAAAAGAAAATAACTAACAGAGGCCTGGCAATGCACCATTCACCAGGGCTGTGTGAGACGGGGCCCCGCCGAGAGCTTCCATTCTCGAGAAAGTACATAAGCGGTCGAGACTTCGCCGTATCATGTCAAGCTCAGCATCTTAAAGCCACCCCAGCGTCAGCATTGAGAAAAGATCGTCCAAACCTGAAGCTCCGGAACACTTGCGGCAACACCACGTAAATGCACCACAATAAACACAATAAACACACAACAATAAACACACACTCACACTCACACGGACACACCCACACACAAAAAAAAAAAACGCACACAAACACACGCACGCGTGCGCACACACGCGCACACGCACACGCACACGCACACGCACACGCACACGCACACGCACACGCACACACACACACACACACACACACACACGACTGAAAAGTGTTGTCTGCACTCACGGATGGACGTCACAAGGGACCTACACAGGATGAAAAAGATGGTGTTGGCAATGGTGATGATAACCAAAGTGCAAGGCACTTACGAGATGAAAGTTTTGTGCCATGCATGCCAGAAATCGAGAATGGCATGCAAAACAATCTGAGATGATGCGTATGGGGTAAGCGTCCTGCTTTGCTAGATCAGACACGGGGAATGATGTAGCACGACATGAGATGAAGATGCAAATGAGAAGTGACGGTCCCGGTCCCGTCAGCTGCCCACGACGGGGCCCAGGCGCAAACCACTTCAAGTACGTTACCTGAGGTGTGGAGGGGAGCTTCATTGGGCGGAGCCCCTCCTGCGCCCCCCCTGCAGCAAGATGGGTGGCGAGCCCCTTATCCCATATATCCCATGAACGCCCTGGTAAAGGAGAGACACAGACAGGCAAGACAGAGGAGACACAGAAAAGAGAGATAAGACAGCCAGACTTAAGGCTTAGGGTTATTGTTTTATTACTGTACTATTGTACTACTAATTATTACTGTACTACAACTGAAAGCCCCGGCCCCCAAACAACTTAGACCCCGGCCCCCCAAACAACTAAAGATGATCAAGGAGGCGACCGCTCCCCCCACTAATGCGGATTCAAGATGTTCGGGGGGGAGGGGGTTACTGATCAGGAGATCACATTACTGCATTAAACCTCATGTCAGAACACATATGCGCTCCTGCGCGAAGGCGGAATAGGGAAGAGTAAAAGTAATGCAAGACAGGCGGGGGTAGCAGCGTGCGCGTCATGGAAGAACGAGGTCTGGTGATCGCAGATGGGGGCTTGGGACTCACTCGGAGGCCTCATGAATACATGTTGAGCGAGACCAAGCGGAAAGAGAGAGAGAGAGAGAGAGATGCTCCCCGAAGGGTGTAAACGGATCCCTTTCAATGAGGACTGACTCCGATGGAGACCACCACGGCGCCGTGACGGAAAGCCTTTGCAAGACACTGAAAAACGCGTTGTCTGCACTCACGGATGGATGTCCACAAGAGACCTACGCAGGATGAAAAAATGGTGTTGGCAATGGTGATGATAACCAAAGATGAAATAGTTTTTTGCCAAACATGCCAGACATCGAGAATGGCATGCAAAACAATCTGAAATAATGCGTATGGGGTAAGCGTCCTGCTTCGCTAGATCAGACACGGGGAATGATGTAGCACGAAATGAGATGAAGATGCAAATGAGAAGTGACGGTCCTGGTCCCGTCAGCTGCCCACGACGGGACCCAGGCGCAAACCACTGCAGGTATGTTACCTGAGGTGTGGGGGGGAGCTTAGTTTCCTCCTCCGCCCCCGTGCAGAAAGATGGGTGGTGAGCCCCTTATCTCATGAACGAGAGAAGTGCACACACACACACACACACGCACACACCCACACACCCACTTACGCACACGCGCACACACGCACACACGCGCACACGCGCACCCGGTCCCACGCACGCACGCACGAACGCACGCACGCTCGCATGCACGCGCGCGAGCACGCAAACACACACACACACACACACACACACACACTCGTGCAATCCTCCCTCTGGACTGGTGGTAATTGTCGGAACTCAGTCTTTCAACATAGAGGTAAAGGATTTTAAGCCACTAGGCAGTAACATCAAACACTCTTATTGGGGTTCTAGGCTTAGCCCCGGGCCATCACACTTGCAGAAACACTCGCAGGTACACCAAGTTGATCAAGTTTGGCTTCCGTCTCTGATGCATAGCTTCGTTGGGTACGGTAGCATCAGAGAGCCGTACCCCCCTGAAAAAATAATGCATGTCAGCGAACCTTGGCAAACAGGTGTTCCACACACACACACCCCGCCAAGCGGGGTAGCCTTTAATGGCAACAAATTGTTGACAGACAGCAGTGCACATTTTACACTAACGGCCTCTCCATGTTGTATGGCACATATGGCACAGAACAATGGTGGTTGCGAGTCCCATTAATGGGTACGCACCCTTACATACTATTAAAGAACATGGCCAGCATGGATGCTGGCAAGATCGAATTAATCATGCAAAAATGGCTTTCACGGAGAAGTGCTCCTCTTTTTTTCCGAGGAGACTCAGAGCAATCAGTGCGATTGAAGGGAGCTTTGGTAGTCTCAGTCAGGTGTGAGCTTGAGCTCCACATACTGTCCGCAGTAAGGCGAGTTTGGATCCACTGCTGTGTGGCAGGGAACCACGTTTTCCACCAACGGTCTTGACCATCAGCTGCCGTGCTTTTAGACCAGTAGAAACGCCACGAAATCTGCGGGGACCGAGATCTGCTCCGTTCCGACATGATGGACTCACTAAGCTCCACTGAAAGCCGCAAACTAAAGAAACATTTCAGCAACATTCAGAGCACCAAAAGCAAAGGGCAATTGGAAACTGCGATGCTGTTTTGGCTTAGCCTCGCATGTGCTCAGAACCGGCTTCACTGTTTGGTGGGCCCAAACTCATCCTGGATGAGTTTAACGGGGCACAGATGCTTCAGAACATAGTGGCAGGTGCACCTGTAGCCAGTGCGAGCCTGCATTTTAGCAGCTGCTCTGCCACGAAACTGATATGGTTGTGGCACATTGGCATGCGGCTTGGCAGAACTCGGTAGTGGATATGCAACTTCCAGAATGGGATCGAAGAAAATCGGAGCATCCGAAACCTTTAGTTTAACTTCAGTTGAAGCTTTAGAAGTCTTTTTGGACTTCTTTTTCTTTTCTTCTTTGTACCATCATCGTCCTTAGGACGTTTCTTGTGGCTTTTTGAAGCTGCTGGCTCAAATGTAACATCAAAGGCAGAATGCCACGAAGAAGTCGACGAAACAGGTGAATGATCACGTTGGGCTTTGGGTTGATCCATGGCCAAAGCCAAAGAAAAAGCAACTCAGGAGCCAAAAACCGAATCGTTTTCTGCCGAACGAATTAAATCAGCCTGCAGCCGCAACAGCATCGGCTGCTGCCATGAGGTTTTCTGCCTCAGGTTCCTCTACTTCTGGCAGCTCTATCTTAGGGGTTTCAAGTTTACCCCATGGGCCCCAGCGATCGTCTGGAAGGCCGCCCTTCTGACAGCAGCCTGAACGAGAAGTCCCCAAGGCCTCGGTGGGAAAGCTCAAAGGCACGGATGTCACTGACATCGCGGCCTGCCAACCCCGATTTCCGGGACCACTCTGTTGGTTGCACCAACTTGTGCAACACATGGGCACCTTTGCCCAAAGGCGTCTTGTCATAGTGCTGCTGATCGGAAACAAAAGACGAAGGCAATGGAAAAGATTGATAAGTGGGACTGGCCACATGCTCCCACGATTTCTCGGAGTACTTGGAGTCCCAATTGTCGTCTTTGCCCCATCGGTTCCATTGTTGTCTGTTGTCCCAGCTGTTGCTGGATTCACTGGTAGACCATGATGACCAGGGGGCCATGGCAGGATTAGTTGTCCAGGGGAGAACAATTGCTTGATCAGACTGACGGCTGTTGCGAAACGAAAGGGCATCAGTCCTGTCTGCAACTAGGCGATCACGCCTTGAACTGAGACATGATTACTCCGTAGAGCATTTGCGAGTCTAAGCCGATCAGGGCTCGGACCGATCAGGGTCCTGTGACTGTGACTGGGCCGATCAGGGCCAGGCTGTAGGCTTCCCTACCGTAGACGACACGATCGACGAAAGCCGTCTAGAGCACACTCGTGCAATCCTCCCTCTGGACTGGTGGTAATTGTCGGAACTCAGTCTTTCAACATAGAGGTAAAGGATTTTAAGCCACTAGGCAGTAACATCAAACACTCTTGTTGGGGTTCTAGGCTTAGCCCCGGGCCATCACACTTGCAGAAACACTCGCAGGTACACCAAGCTGATCAGGCTTTGCTTCCCTCTCTGACGCATAGCTTCGTTGGGAACGGTAGCATCAAAGAGCCGTACCCCCCTGCAAAAATAATGCATGTCAGCGAACCTTGGCAAACAGGTGTTCCACACACACACACACACTTGCAGCAAACCCTCTTGGTCTAAATGTGAGTCGGGAATGTGGCTCTTGTTTGCACATCACTCTATGGCAGTACACAGATTGGCGTCCCAATCTGCTTCACGGAGTATCCACAGCCGTCTTCGTTGGCAGCAGAACTGTGGACTCCATGCTTCCCCCTGCATTGTTACTTAGTCCTTTGTTACGGGGATGACACACACACACACACACATCGTGCTCAGTACAGCGACTCCGAACATCTCAAAACCGGGGATGCTCCTGAAACCACTGAAAACCCTCCCCCTCCCGGTGAACTCCGCCCCCGGCGCAATCGCTTTGCGTTGTTGCTTTGCTCGGGGTCTACAGTAAGGGGCTGGCAGTCCCAAACCCCGCTCTATGGAGCAACCCCATCGAATGCTTTCAGCAGGCCCAGGTGGAGCAAGTGACCCTGGACAGAAACGAAGGGCCGAACATGTGCTTGAATCAACGGTCCCGTGAGTCTTGTGCACGCGGCAGGCTCACCATTCTGCCGTATCGAAGTTGGGCGAATGCCCCTGTAGAGAAAAGCTTGAATCAAATTTGTGAGTACCGCACTGTTTCCCAGCTTTGTGCAAGGAAAAACTTGCGTCTTCTTTTTTGTATCACTTGTTCTTGTGCTCCATGTCTCCGGAAAACTCGCTTTGCAAACCCGTCTTTGGCTTCGCTTGCTTCATGTCCCAGAAAGAACCATCGGATTCCTTTTCCTCCGTCGTTAGGGCAAGATTGGAAATGTTCTCTCGGATCATCTCTTCCCTTCCTGCCCTTGCTTCTTTTCTTCTTGGGATTGCTTGTTCATCTTTTGCGCTGTCCTTTGCTTTGCTCTGGGGCATGAGGAGTGGGCAGTGGGCAGCTCAGGCGCTCTCCCTTCCACTGCTGTTCGCCGTTAACTGGCAACCTGCATTGGAACGGATTCGGATCGCGTTTGCTTAACACATGCACAGCGAAACTCGCTGTCGCTGTCAAGACTTCTACCGAAAGATCTGCGAAACAGGGCCAGAAGCTTTGAAGCCATGGCCAACGCTCCCGCCATGACGACCATGCCGACGAGAAGGAAAGCATGCTCAGGACTCGCCTAAGCTCCAGGGGTGACGAAGGAGCCTAAAAGCAAAATGCGCGCAAAAGCTCAAAAAGCTCCTGCCTCGTAGAGATGGCCCAAAAGCACGGGCGACGCAATGCGTGCCAGGCTGTTGACTGCTGACTCCTTCAAAGCCACAAAACTCGCGGACCAGATGTGCAAAGAGGTTAGGGTGTACCTGACCTACTTCTATAATGCTGACCCAGCCACTATCACTAGCAGCTAGCGGAACTTTGTTGCAAAGCCCGTCCGCTCCCATGACCAAGCCCCGCTTCTGGCGTGGAGCACATCGGGCCATCATGGTCGGAACACTCGGGGCGTACAGTGGTACACCAATAGCATACAGCAGGACCTCGGAACGCAGTGCCTGTAAATCCACTGTCTGTTTGTGCTTTCATAGCCGGATTATGTCGGATTCATGTGCGCCTTTTTTCATTGCTGCCGGTCGTGCCCCGGGCCTGACTTATTTCGAAACCCATGGCGACACTATTGCAACGGATAATTTGCTGTCGTCCTCTTGGATTATCTAAAGATACTAGTAGCTCACTGAGTCTAACAAGACAGGTGTCCCCGGCGCCGACGACGTGCGGCATCAGCTGTACCCCAAGCAGGGCCACGCCAAGTCCGATCATGAAGAGTCCCACAACTGCCACATGAACCAGCCGAAAGCGACGAACCAGCGGCGTGTAGGCATAATAAGTCACGACAAAGACCAATGCTGCTAAACTGGTCTGCACCAATCCCAAATGACGACCGTCAGAGCTAAACCTCTGCGAGAACAGCACGGGGAAGAAACCGTCAAAGAATGACTGCCCGAAGTTATACGCGCAAGTCACCCCAATGATGGTGAAGATGGAAACCCATGGTGCCGAATCCTCTGCACTCGCTGTGTCCGCTTGGCTTTGAGAACTGGACTCTTGCTGCGGTCTGAGGCTTGGCCGGAGCCAACGCATCACCAAGAGTCCCGCCATTAATGAGGAGGTTCCAATCAGGAGAAGGACGGCTTCCAAACCCGCACGCGGTGCTGCTGCAAGCTCCAGGACGTAACCTCCCAGAAGGGGGCCTACGATGAAGGCACAGGTAGCCGCGGCTTCCCGGTGTGCCATCCACTTCGGAAGATCCTTTGCGTCGGCCTCGTCTGCAATGTAAGCCTTTACCACTGTGGACGCTCCAGCAAATGCGCCGCTGCAAAAGCGCATCAAGACAAACAAAGGCAGATTCTCGAGGTACACAGAAAGAGCCTGGAGGACGAAGAAAGCCCCAACTCCAAAGTACGATATCATCAGTACAGGTCTGCGGCCCCTCTGATCACTCAGATAGGGGAAAACAAGCACTGCAAAAAACATACCACATGGGAATGCAACCACGATCCTCCAAGTTGATGCCGCTTGTAGATCGAAGTGATGCAGCAAGGACGGAAGGATAGGGCCACCCATTGTAAACCCTAGAAGGTGAAAAAAAATGCACACCAGGATGACCTTCTGCGGTCCGGGTTTGCATGCAACCACTTTGTCTGTAATCTCTGATCCGGGTTTGTGGCACAAACACTTGGCTCGTGCTGACGCCCGCTTCCCCTGCGCATGCCTTACCAGTTTCCGAAGCTGTCCTCTTGCCGCCAGTAGGACCAATGCAACGATCAAGCAGCTCTGCTGACCAAGATGCACGTCTCCCGTGTTACCGGGAAGGTGAAAAGGCCTGGCTCCTTTGGCCGGACTTGTCCCGGGGGCACATAGATGGGAGGCGGGCGAACTGAAGCCGGCGTCGTTCTCCCCGTGCATTTCAGATTTCACTGCGTCACATACTCCGTTTCAAACCGCCCAGCGCCGAACACATCGCATGCAGGGATGACCTCTCTACCCAGCAAGCTTTCCTGACAGATTGTTAGTCTACAGCCGGAAACGAAACGCCGTGGGTCTGTGGTGATGTCGTCTTTCAGTTGCAACAAATGGCTGTCGGCTGCTCTTCCACTACGAGCCCATACAAACTGGAATGCAGATTCATGGAGCAGCAGCCAAACTTTCGAGCTGTGACGGCTGAGGTTGTGGCCACCACTCCTGCTCCTCGATGTCCGGCCAGCGTGTTGCGCCAAATAATCGGATTAGCCTCGCCTTTGCAAGGAGAGGAAGGTGAGCTTGAGTCGAGATCCGCAGACATGCGGCTTTGCTGTGCGAGCTCGCAGCCGCGCCTTCCAGCCAAATACCACATGCCTCGACAGGGATTTTGCAGCTCATTCGGCTCACGATGCAGGCTTCCAAAACCTAGAAATTTCGAGCATGTACTTTGCACAAGCTCCTGCTAAGGCTGCCGCACAGCGAGTCACATCGCAAGCTGCCACCTACGGATTGAAAAGATCCAAAATGGAAAGGGTGAATGCACATAACGCACCACGACTTTCCATGCCCAGCACAGTCAGTGCCGAAACAACCGGTGGATCGCATCATCGGGGCAAAATGAGGCGGCCAAGCGCAGGTTTCCACAGCGAGACACAATCTGGATTATGCGCAACACTGGGAACCTCAAAATGAGTGCATTCGGAGTAGATCGGAGCTCGGTGCACAAGAAAATCTATACTTCATCGCGCAATAGTGCCACTGTCCTTCGTCAAGCTGAGGTTCCAAACCGTGGGGCGTCTCCGTGCCAGGAACAGACGGGAGACTGCGGTCCACTGGTTAAAGCATTGAGTCGGACAGTTTGCAGACTAATGACTAATTATGCACAGGTCCGACCATAGCCAATGGGATCTTGGCGGCACGAGTGCGACTGCCAGTGCGTGAACTCTGTCGAATCTACCTTCCACATCATGCGGAGTAGATCATGATGTTGAGAAAATGCCGGGAGCACACGAAACAGCGCCACCGCGCCAACTTTGGGACTTTGTGGGCCACAGAGATCCAGGAGCCAGGATTTAGGACAATGAGGCCGGGAGGCCAAAAAGTGCTCTCGGTAGACCCGCACTTTGGAGTTCTCTGCAAGTGGCTCCTGACTCATGGAGGGCCTCAAGCAACCCGCAAATGAACACTTGGCCCCAAGTGCCTACTGAAGCAATCTGCTGAGTCGCAAAAGCTGGAGGATAGTAATAGGTTCTTGGGGCTGAGTCAAGGCCGAATTCCTCTCAAACGGACTTCTTGCCCATGATGCATGCAAGCCACGGCGGCATCTACAACTTTACCCTCGCTCAGCTGCTTCATCCGGCGGTCTTGATGCAGGCTCAGTGTCAACACCTGGCAAAGTGGAAGCCCATGCAAGCGTGCTGCTACAAGACCTCCTGAAACAGCATCGACTGCCTGCTGCTTCTGGAAGCTCCCAGCTGGCGTCCGATAAAGCAGGGCCTGGGTGTGCGGTTTGTCATCATGATGGAGTACAAACCACACTTCAACCTCCAGTATGCTTTGCCGCTGAGCCGACGACTGACAATCGTGGATGCAGCTGACAGTGGAGTGTCAAGCCTTGTGACAAGCGAAAAGCAGCCTTGCCGGGGCTTGCGTTGCAAAGGGAAGCTCTGAGGCAGCATCAGTGGATCGAGTGCTGGCCGGGGTCCGCGGAGGTGCCGGGCCAGAGCCTGCTCTGACACTTGAACGGTTCTGCGAAGACTGTGACGTCACCCGGCAGCTTTTCATCACGTGCATCCCCGATATACAGGACCGGCGAGGAGTAGAATCAATCTGCACTGACCGTAAGCCTGTATCATCCAAGCTGGCCCTGCCGCAAATATGACAAGCTCTCACCTTGTGAAATTAGCTTCCGCTTGCCGCTTCGAGACTCAGAACTTCGTTTGCAAATAATGTTCAGGAATCGTTCTGGTTGTAGCGAAGTAAGTGGTACCGAAGCAGAAACCATCGCCCCCCTCTCACTCCTCAGCCCTTCGTGCCTCGGCTGCTGCAGCTTCCTGTAACTCAGGTTAGTTTGTTGCGCTGTTGAAACGTAGCAGCAGCTCCGCAGGCCTGTGCCGACGGTCTGCGTGCCTCCGCCGCAGCCATCGGCTGTGTGGCGCCTGTCCTGTCAAAGCAATGCAGTCCATGCTGGGTGAGTGACGCACAGCGGCTGGCCTGAACTGTCTTTGGCTGTCGATGTCGTCATCCTGCCATGAGAGCAGCCTGAGTGACTGGCGCGAGACACAGCGGCACGGTGGCGCTGGCACAGTCGAGGTGGCGACAGCATCAGGCCAGCAGCGCTGGCCAGGGACACGACGAAAAGGGTGACGCAGCGCACCTGAAGCTTAACAGGAGCACGAGTACCAACTGCGGCAATATGCAGCAATACTGTAGTGCCACAAAAACCAGAGATGATCGCCTATGCCTGCTAATTATGCTTCACAGGGCAAGATGTGTGGACTCTTGCATGTAGCTTCGAACGAGTCGAGTTTATGGCAGAAGAATCAGAGGACAATCATCGCATGCCGACCGGAAGCGTGTCGGGAAATTGATTCATGATGTGGACGACGAGGGAAAACGCCAATACACAATTAAAGATCCTTCTCGAGCCGAGAAATCTTCCGTAAGATGCCGATCGGACCCATGCTGTCACAGTCCCGAGCGCCTTGTCTGTGGGCTTGATTATCATCGTGCAATGTGTCTCGGAGTATGTCTGCCCTTGATCTTAGAGCCCCTGTTCTGAATCCCTCTCCGCTGCCGGAACACAATGTTGCCGAGCACACGGCCCAAAAATGGGAACGGATACACATGCTCAACTGCAGAGAAGAAACGGCATTTCAGCACTAGGCTTGCGAGGCTGCTGGCTGTACACTGCAGCGTGTTGCTCTGAGAAATGAGCTTTGACTGGCATCCGGAGATCCAGCAACATGCACGGCGAGTCTGGAAGCCTTTTCTAAAGGTCAGCACTACTTAATTCGTCCTTGGCTGTAGGATCCTTGGGGGCGCCGTACTTCAGCATCTTCATGGCATTTTTGCCAGCACAGAGTTGAGCCACAGTCTTCTGAGAGGCACAATGGAGCACGTCTAGGAGCTGCTCAGCAGAGTCTCGAGTATACACCTCGCTTCCGTCAGTATGTGCGTCCTGGGTCCCCATACCCAGAACTTTGTGTGGTTCGTAAGTGGCCATCCATCGATGCACGTACTGCTCTAAGTGGAGGGCGTGGGCACTCGATGGGCACACGAAAAGAACAGGTGTGTACTGGAGGTCGCGACCGAAGGATTTCCGGTAGCGCTGCAGGCGCGTGAGGATGGAGAGATGTCCGGTGTCCGTTGCGTCCAAGGAGGCCTTGCCGACCTTGCAACACTGCGCAAAGATCAGTAAGTGCACGAGGCCCACCTCGACTGCATCGGTCCACTGGAGCTCCTGCAGGACAGAGCGAGTGATGTCCTTGTAGAAACAGCGCATGCTGGGTGTCTTGTAGCAGAAGAGTTCTTGGAAGTACTTCTCAACCGCCTTCCACAGGTTGCTAGACCGCTTAGACCGCGTTCGCGCGTCCTTTTTGGCCATCGCACTCTGGAGTAGGCTGTGAAAGCTGAGGCGGTCTTGCTGCGGCAGACCCAGAGGCCAGAAGGGGAAGAGCGTACTCGGGTAGCTCAAGTCCGGAACAAACTCGTGCGGAAAGGGCGGAAACGGGTTGAAGTAGAGAGCAACCTAACCAGGGGAAAGGCATGCAGGAGAGTCAACAAACTCTAGATTTTAGAGAAAACCTAGCCTGGTTGAAGTCTTCAAGCCAGGCTACCAGGCGAAAGTCGTGGAGCAGCTCCGTGAGGATGGCAGGCTCCGTGTTGACGAGAGCAGGAGCGTTCACGCTCAACGCTGGGCGGCGCTGTGGGCGGCGCTGTCGCTGTAGACGAGGAGGAAGAAGTTTTCTTCAGCGCTGCAGCCGGTTTTTTCATCCTATTGCCGTGAACGGAAGTCCTCTTGCCCGCTCCGGCAATGCTGATGTCCCAGTGACGCCTAGCTTCGGGTGCAATCTGCATCCTCCCACCGCAGTCTTCCATAAATGCCGTCGGTAGATCTTGCTCAGATAGGAAGTCTGCCACTTTCAGGCGGCTGCCGGTGCCAACTTCCAGCTCCCGCTTGTCGTACTCATTCTTCAGGCCTTCCGTGCAGTACAGGACTAGTCTAGCTAAGCCCTCTCCAGTCACCGTGCTGTGCCTCTTTCGGTCTTCTGCGAGGTCCAGCCCTACGAAGCAGAGAGAGTAGATCAGCCAGAGGCCGGCTCGGACTCTCTCCGACAAGAAACTCAGAGAAAATCCTGTCTGCTTCTCGTGTTCCTCCACCGGGATCCTTGCGTCTGCTTGCTCCTCTTCTTCCGCCAGAACCAGCTGGTAGGGATCACTAGACGCCATAGCAGTCCCTGAGGCTAGGTCTGGTCCCAACCTTGTTTGGAGCACTCGTCGAACTTCCGCGCTGTCCGGAGCTGGGCTAAACTCCAAAGCTGGAGCTGTCGGCTTTCGCGGTGGAGTGCTGAACTCCACCTCTGCCTGAGTGAACTGAGTACTCAGCCTTCCAGGACGACCCGACTCAGGATCAATCATCTCCTCAGGTGGCGAAGACATCCGCCTCCGCTTTGACTCTTGCCTCAGCAGTCGACTCGGCAAGCCAGGTATTGTCGAAGCTTCTGAAATGGCTGGAGACATGGCCTTCGGCGAGCATGGAGTCCTCCCTGCCAGGCTTCCTGGAGTCTCGGAGTCCACTACCGTGGCCGCAAGGGGGCTCAACGGACTGGACGCAGCCGCAGCTTCCAGTTGTGTCGGAGACAGCTGTGGGGACGTGTCCCAGAACATTGAGTTGTGCGACATCAGCCAAAGCGCGGTTCACGGAGCTATGAACCTTCCTAGCACAGCAAAATTCTGCAGAGCCTCGGACTGCGGGAGCCAACATCCCGGAACGTTCGATGCTGTAGTCTCAGACTGCGGGAACCAACGTCCCGGAACACTCGATGCTGCAGTCGCACACTCCGGGAGCCAACGTCCCGGAACACTCGATGCTGTAGTCTGACACTGCATTGAACACTATGGCACTGTGGAGGCTCCACCTGAACCACTGCCTCTTAACTACAAACAAGCCACGACGGTCACCCTAACATACCCCAAGACTTCTGTCACAGAGACAAGCAAGTAGCAGGATTCAAGAAGAAGATCTGCCCTTAACACGTATCAGCATGTATCAGCCCATGTCCGAGGCACGGCGGCGATGCACCGGGCCCCCACTGCACCGAACATGGCACGCTTGGAGGCATTAGCAAGTTCTACGGACAGAAGCCTCGCAGTGCAGAGAAAGCCTCGTCGGCATGTGGCTCCAAGCCGTACTCAAGACTGTCCCTCGACGGGTATGCCTAGATCGGCACCTGATTGCTCAAGCTGAGGTTGCCTGACATTGTCTGCTGCGATGGGCAGGTTTGTAATCTCAGTTCTCTATTTCCACGACACATCTAGATTCTAGAATCATTGAAATTTGGAGCCACCGGCGTTAGAACTTTGCTCAGGCGACAGGCATTTTGATCAGCCGTGGTCACAGGCCCATGGCATGCAATGTTGCTCCGGAATGCGACCGAGCCCGAGTCAAAGACCAAACCGTTGGCGCCTTGCAGGAAAGCAATGCCCGCTCCTGGGTCCAGACCAAGCCCAAAAGTCCCCTCCCACAACTTCGTGCATTGAACTCTGCCAATTTCTCCTGCGTGGTCGAAGATGCGGCATTCACGGATGACCTCTGCAGTCTCTCTTCTCAATGAATAAAAAACCTTGAACTGCAGCTAAGGGTAGCCGCAATGCATCGAGAGCTGGGACGGGAGGGGCTGCAGCGTCCAGGCTCCAACGTGTTATTTGTAGAACCAAGGACTCAGCTGGACCGGACTGGCCTCGAACCTTGCCAGGCGACAACTACCAGTGATCATGCGTGTTACGGGTGTCGCCTCCAGCCCTGCAGGAGCGCCCCTTGCGGGATCGCCGCAGGACCCAACCTTGGCACAGGCTCCATAACAAGCCTAAACCACCGATCCCAAATTTCCAAAGCAGAGGGCAGTTCCCCCCCTCCGACGTCCTTCACGCTCTTCATCCAAACTACTGAGCTCCCCACAATCTCGCAGCCTTCTATGAGGGGGCTGGAATTGCTCACCTGATGCCCAAGGTTGATCTGGGAAGATTCGGCTTCGGCTACGAAACTCGAACCCCGGGACAGCCGTGCTTCGTTCCTGCCAGCCCGGTAGGTTGAAACGGCTACCTCTCCTCCTGCCCCACATGAAGAAACAGTCCAGCGAAGGTTCCACAGCTCACGGACAAGAGCAAGATTTCCGCATGCCGAAGTACAGTGCCTTAGTGCCTGGCAGTCAGAGCGTGACAGCGCGACCTTTCAGCGGAGAAACGCTGGACTCCGGAGCGCCCATGCACTTTGTCGCCCAGCATGTCTGGGAGTCTGGGAGCTGCCGCTCTGCGCAGAGTCTCAGATGTCTCAAGGCCTTGGGGTACAAATTTTTGCGATTGGATTCGATGGCTTCGGCCAAGAGCGGTTCAGAACTCGGCTTCACGCACATGCCGACGCACCAGCTCCAGAGACAACAACCCCATCTTTCCTTCTCGAGAGCATTGCAGGGGCATGCAACTCTAACCTGTCCATCAGGTTTTAGAGGACTCTACATGCTCTTGACTCTAGAGCATCCGCAGCGTTCCTTGAATGTAAAGAGAAAGATTGGCAGTGAGGCACTCACCCGCCCCAAATGGTCGGAAGCTCTTTTCCTGCGCCCACGAGCACGACCTTGGTTTGATCTCGGGGAGAAAAGCGAAGAGCCGTGACCTTCCGTCAAAAACGCTTACGCTTCACCCGGGAGCGGCCGGGAGCTGCGCCGGTTCCGTGATGCTCAGCTGCTCGTAGTAGACCTGCGAGATGCGCGCTCTCACTTTTCCATAGGCAACCCTCGCTTTGTTGGCTCATTGTCGCGATATTCTGCTTGAGGATCTCTCGGTAAGGCTCATGCACCCGGCAGTATCCGGACCTTGAAGTATGCTCGCCGTCAGCACTTGCACACGCAGGCCACACACACACAGACAGAGATGACAGAGAGACAGACACAGAGTGAGATGTTGATGTTACTCTGACCCACATTGGACGTCACTGCTTCGAGCGAAGATTGGCTTCGCACTGCACGACAGACCCGTGCCGTGCCAAGGGGTTGAAGAGGGCGTCGATGTCGATGTCTTTCTGCTCTAAGGCTCTAAGGTGCCCAGCGGCAAGCTGCCCCCTTGCAGCGCCTTTAGGCTCCATCTCCAACGGCACGAGACCGAGTTCCACTTGTAAGCGGCAAGAGCGGTGCAGTCGCGGTCCGAAGAAGCCCAAGCCCAGGTATGTCATTCGTCTCACTGTCTTACTGTGCTACGGCATTCTCTTCAAGAACCAGGACGTAACGTCTTTTTGCCTGGATGGCAAATACATCCAAGGTTCTGCCAGCGTTCCAGGCTTCGCTTTCCAAGACATGGACATTGTGTATGAATGATGTGGTTTGTCCGCGCATGAGCTGCTGGCTGACAGCTCTCTCAGCGGGGAGCGAAAACTGCAAGACGATGCTTGCTTCTGGCAAGGGGAAAACGAGACGCTCCAGTAACTGGGATATCAGCTTAGCAGCGAAAACCTTCTTGGTCTTTGAAGCCAAACTCTTACATGTCCGTGTCGTTGGCAGGAGGTTGGGCAGTCCGTGTGCCAGCTGCGCGGCCACACCCCCTTGCTCCGTGATGTAGGCAGCATCGATCTTGGAATGCCGATTTGTTCTGACGCTCAGCAGTCTCTCCAAAATCCTCAAGCCATCGTCTGGTGACTGGGGCTTGTACTGATACATCAGCGACGCCAGGCGTGCCAGTGTGGAAGCGCGAATTTGCGCAGTGTCATTTGAGCTGCCTTGCCTGTCTTGACTTCGCGCGTCCGTGTCAAACACCAGCTCACAAAGTAGCTCACACAAGCGGTCATCTTCTGGCGGAACTTCAAGCAACAATGCACTTGATTCGTCCCTACCTGTCTCCACGAGACATCGAAGCAATCCGCGCAAAGATGCAAACAGAAAAGGCGCATTCGCCATGGACTCCAGGTGACTTAAGACAAGAACAGGATTTTTTAAGCGCCGCGAAGGCCCGGGCCCAGGCAAATCTGTTTGGATACAGCCATGGCCAAGGCCGAGCCCGATTCGCAGAGCGGCGCCGTCTCGAACTGCTTTGTACAGCTCGCGGGAAGCGGATGCGAGCTTTCCCATGGACATGCTGTCCAAGGCCTTCACACCGCCCACTGCCAGGCAGCCCGGCAAGCACTGGAATGCTGGCTTGCTATGCTTGCTGTTCAGGACTTCATCCAAGCAGACGGGTCTGGCCCAACTTTCTGATTCTAGGTCACAGGCTGGTGGCAGTCCCGTCCCGTCTTCACTGACTGTCGTCCCAGCATTTGTCCTTTGGCGCTTTCGTCTGCCCATGCGGATCTTGTTCAGGATCACGTTGGCCAACACACTTTAAACAGCAACGTTATTAAAGCATTCCGTGTCGCGTTCAGACGATTCCGGGTAAACTGAAGCTGGTTACGGCCAACAGCACTGTTGCACTGCAAGCCTGAAGACTTGGTGTCATGACATTTGGATGTCTCTCTGAACAAGCCAAATGGATGAGGTGCACGTGCCACTTCAGGCGTGACGCTTGTGAATCCCATGTCAGGCCACAAGGCAAATATCTGACTGAGTCCCAGCCAGAATCTGCTCACCGCTGCCAGACGGCTGGACCTCAGCAGCAAAAGCTCCCAGCCAGCGGTCCCAAGCTTGGCAATCTGGAGCTGTTCGAGCTCTAGATCGCCACCATGACGACTTCGGAGACACACATGGACTCAAACACGAAGCATGCATGCTGACTTTTTTGCTGCCACTTCAGCACGCATAACGTCTCAGCGAGATGTTCAGATACTTAACTAGTTGCTGTTCGAGCACGCTTTCGCAGATGCCCCGTAGTGATGCGGGCTTCATCTCCAGTCCCATTCTCCTGGGACCATCGCATCATCTGGCCATTGCGACCACGCCCCATGCACGGCGCATAAACCTGAGTACATAGCGGCAAAGTCAAAAGACCGGAAACGGATTGTCTAACGAGCGCAAAGCGTGCCGAAGTCACCGTGGACCGCATCAAGAGCTGGACCACCTGGCAGTCCGAGTGGCATAGCGGCGGCCGCCATCTTCTGCTTGAATTGGGATGGCGAGGGCGAGGAGGGAATCCCGAAGCTGCGCCAATGTGCAGCCACCGGACGGCAATCTTTCGAAAAGCTCCAAACCAGTCAGCCCCTTAGCACCGGCAGTCTGCAATGCCGTCTCCACCGCTGCCAGAACATCTGAAAGAGCAGCTGCAGGAGAGCTCTCCGGCTGTGTAGATTTTGTCGCCCTTACCACCGTTGGCCTTTCACCGCCTTGGATGAGGCGCTCTTCGTGCCGACTGCGGCGGCTGGATGTTGCTGTTTCTGTCTCCTTGCGCTGATCAAGGAGGCTCCGGTAGCTTCGGTCTTTCAGGTCTGGCTGCAGCGTCAAAGACTCAACGATCCCCTCGATGGGCGCCTGTCCACGCGTTTCCGATTCTCCCTACTTGTCATGACTTGCTATCCTGCCCGGTCCTACTACTGGCATTGCGATCAGACCTCAGAGCCATCCAAGGGCTGCCAGAAGCTGAAAAGCTCAGGAGAAGCTCGACGCTCCACCCGCATACTTGTTGGACACCCAGCTCGCGCGGAGTTCAGTTTCAGGATTCCTTGCTCCTTGGCTTGCCCAGTGCTTCAAGGCTGACCCTGCATTCGCGCAGTCCTTCTGCAATCACGTGGTGCACATGCTCGAATTGGGCCTGGCCTATTGCCTTAACAGGGTTTACGCTGGTTTTCGGACGGTGTTTGATGTTTGTCTCACATGCAAACCAGCGATTCGCGACGCCTCGGTCTACCAAGCACCAATGTGTGCACGCAGTTCAAACTCAAGTGTCTCAAGTGCAGACCCGGATCAAGATCCAGATCGGCCACAATGTCCTGTGGTTTTGATTGCAGCCACTGCTCAGATAGCCACCTGCAGCACAACAGAACATGCCCATTGCCGTTTGATGGCTGTGCATGCAACCCGTCAGAATGATAGGTCTGCGGTCTGCTTTACATGGCCAGCGATTTAGACACCCGTCCCTGCCAGGCTCTGAGCTGCGCCTTGGGACTTTCAGCAGCCGGAGTTGTCCGGTAGCCATGGCCAGCAAAGCGGGTACTAAATGTGAGGTACAAAGGCTGTCGAGTCCCAGCCGCGGACTGCCGGATGCGACTTTCCTGGTCCTAGCAGTCCTTGCAGATCACCAGACATACACCACGCACACCGAACCCAGAAATACCTGCTGCTGAACCGACGGCCACCCGAGCAAGAGTCTCTGTTGGTGCAACTTGGAGCAGGCGTACATCCACGCGACTTGAACTGCCGAACTTCCTTCCGTCCCTGGCTGAGAAGTCCCGCCGCTGCTGCAATGGTCGGAAATGTTGCAGACCTTTGCCCACAAGATAACTCCGTGCTGCAGGCTGGCATTTGGAGACAACGCAAAACACATCGACGAACAAACGTTGCTGTTTACGCACGACGAATGCCGCCTGGACCGTCTATGGTTGTTGCAAACTTGGCATGACTACCATGATGCAGCGATAGCAGCGACGGGACTGTGTGAAGCACGGCCCTCAGCTCGGACACTCGGCGACGCCAATTCATTGGCGCATGTTGGAGGGCGAAAGACATGGGTTCAGAGCTCGGCAAAGATCTGGCACGCCGGCGACACGAGCACGTGCTTGCATAAACATCTCATAGTAGATTGCTCAGGGTTGACAGACTGGAGTAATGAGTTCTCTGCCTTGATTCTGTTCAAGACTTTTCAGCACGAACAACCCTTTAGCAACAGGCTTTCCACTTCGCGCAGACTTGGAGCAAGCAGCCCTAGAAGCTTCACTGCGGAGCCAGCTTTCGTACACGGACAACCCTAAACCTCGAACCGTCAGCACCAACCACCATTATGCACCTGAATTCAACCGCTTCAATGCGACAACGCATGCAACAACGCAAAATGCGACAAAGAGTTGACATGTGAATCAATTGCCATCACCCGATCATCACCCCACCCTGGCTCAGCGGCGCGACTATCCAGTCCAGCGGGGGATCCGAGTCTGAGTTCTGGGCGGAACAGTGCGCACTTGTGTCCCACTGGCCACCTTTTTCAATTGCGCAGGCTGGGATTCCACACAACGTGCTATGGTCTGCTACTTGTACAATCTGAAAACATCCGTTTAAGTGTGCTGCCACCCGGCCAGGTTCTTCTGCACGGGAAAAATATCCAGGTGTGTCTGACACCTCGGGAACTCACTGAATCCAGGCATCGCATGGTCCCATGACCCATGGAGGTTGTGCGTATGCGAGCAAGCCCCACCTTTCTTCTTGCATAAGAACCGTCCAGGCATGCCCATCTGCTCCACTCTGCTCTCTTCCGTGCGTAGTGGACGAGCACCCCTGGCACCAGGCCTAATAAAGGGATCGGTAAAGACCCACCTCGATGGGAGTCGGCAAGGTGCGCAGTGATCTAGTGCCCCGGAAAGGGTACGAGTCTTGTTGTGTTCGTTTTTCGGTACGTGTCTCGTATCGTGTTACTTACCCACTCTTACTCGGTACGCAGCGGCCCGAGTAGAAAAGCAACGAAGAACTTTTTGGGCAGAACACAACATAGTGTGCCCACAGCGTTGGCTTTGCTTGTTGAGACACTTGGAGCACTGCATGGTGATTCGATCCTATGTTAACGCTGCAAGCATTCCAACATACAGCCTCCTGCAGCGGATGTGTGCATCAATAAGTTATATGTATATATACAAATCCATGTATTTATTTATTATTTTGTATATTGGCTTGTCTGTTTGGTAGCCCGCCCAAAGATCTATGCATTTTATCTGTTTTCAGCTATTTCCACTGACGAGCATCTCCTCATGACCATCCTTCCACTCACTCGATCGTCTCCTCATGACCGCGCAAACCCCTGCTTCCACTCACGTGTCTCAAATCATCTCCTCGTGACCGCACAAAGAGACCATATTGAAACCCAGTGTAGCCCAACATTTCAATAAGCCCGGCGGAGGACCAGATTGAAACATTGAGCCGCATTGAGTTTCAATATGGCGGATCCAAGATCCCCATGACTCTTGGGGAGGAAACTTGGATCACGGATCCTGGATCCGCCATATTGAAATCCAATATGTCCTCAATATTTCAATATGGCCCTCGCTGAATCCAAGATTCCTCCCAGAAGTCCCGTGCAATCTTGGATCTTGGAACCGCCATATTGACATTCAATGTGTTTCAATAACTCAATGTGGTCCTGTGCCCTTCTTGGTTTTGTTGTCTGCACGGCTCTTGTTGCAGTCTGCATGTGCATGTCTGCGGCATCCAAACAAAACCAACAATTGCGCCACGAACCTGAAAAGATTGCTTTTTGTTTTTTGCAGACAGTACAGCGCTTAAGAAAACAAAGATTAGCTTCTTGATGCAGCACAGCGTTTTGGGCAGTTTTCTTGCAAAAGTGCTGCACTGTTCCAAAAAGACTTATCTTTTTGGAAGCCTGGGGAGCTAGCCTCCAAGACTGGATAAAGTTGTGATTTGCACATTGGGAAATTTGATTGGCGTTTTGTGACACTACGACACTTTTGCAAGAGAAATAGCTTAAATTGCTGTATTGTCCCAAGAAGATCTTTGGGAGGCTTCTACAGTGCATTGGATGAGTGACACGGGTGGCGCCCGCGCGGTGCAGAATGTCTTCTGACGTCTTATTAGTGTTCTAAGTCACCGAGGAGAGTAGTCGTAGTAGTCGTAGTAGTAGTAGTAGCAGTAGCAGCAGTAGTACTCTGGTGTTGTTTTGTTATAACCTTCTTGGTAAGATTTAGTAGGAGTTTATGCGTTAATACCATGAGAGTAATATGGTGAGGATGAATGGTTTAGTAGGAGTAGTAATCGCAGCACTAGTGGCAGTAGTAGAGTAGTAGTAGTAGTAGTAGTAGTAGTAGTAGTAGTAGTAGTAGTAGTACTAGTACTAGTACTAGTACTAGTACTAGTACTAGTAGTACTAGTAGTAGTACTAGTAGTAGTAGTAGTAGCAGTAGCAGTAGCAGTAGCAGTAGCAGTAGCAGTAGCAGTATGTAGCGACTCAGCAGCCCCTCTGGACCCTAAGCCGTGCCGTCTTCTTCTCAGTATCGTGGCTTTTAACAGAAGGATTCACAGGTCACAGGAGGCAGGACATGGCTCGCACACCGAATTTTCCGTCGCACAACACGAATCTGCAAGGTACTTAGGCGCATCTGTGCATAGCCTAAGTCGAGGAATTCCTTGCTGTCTGCTGCTGTTCAACATGAGGCTTCTGCCAGTCATGGCAAACGCCAATTCGGCCCCTTGGGCCATCCGCTTGAAACATCACACATAAATCAAGGTTCCACTGCATCATCCCCAGCTCCACTAGGGTCGACTTACGCTTTACAGGGAGAGGTCTTTGGGCATCAACACCCCTCCTCGATAGCACCGCGAGGTGCTCATCGCCTCGCATGAATTACCGAGGCCCTTCTGTGACCTCTCGCTGTCCAGGGATACATTTTGCGCACGCATCTTTCTGAATGTACTTAGTCGATCTGTTCAGCGTGCTGCAATCCCTCGTAGCATGTATACACGAACCAGAAGGGGTTGTGAATACAGCGCGGGGCATTTCCCTCAGCAGTTCCACTTGTACCTCGACATCTCGAGTTCGCCCACTGCGACCTCTCAAGGCTTCCTCGGCTAGCCGAGGTGGGTCCGGAACACCATAGGGTTCCCCACTAACAAATACGGTCGCGAACTTTTCACTCAGCAAAACGGCCTTGTAAAGCGGAGTGTCTCAGGTACTGCACATGCGCATTGTTATGCACACTGAAAAGGGGCATGCTAGGTAACAGAAGTATTTAACACGCCCTCTTGGATTCGCACCAACTGTACAGTTTGCGAAGCCACACTGGAAAGTTTGTAAGTTGCGAAACTGCTGCTCTGTCAAAGCTATTCCAAAGGTCTTACATGACAGAGTGCGGGAGAAAAGCTACGTCACTAAAGAACGAAGCTACGCAGTACAGAAAGAAGCTACGCCAGTCTCAGCTCAAGTAGTTGTTAGAGCTACGTGTTGGCGCAACTTTCTCAGCGTTGTTTCTTCTTGATGTTGAACATCTTGTCATTTGGATTCTGCTGCTTCAAGCTTTCGTAGATGTCATAGAGGCAACGGTGGCACGGTGCAAGTCCGCGCTCTACTGCTTGTGATAAGCTCATCTCTCGAGTGGCTTTGGCGTCCTTCGTGATGCTACTGCAATCTCTACGATGACATGAGCGCCCATAGTGAGTTGCAATGTGAACCCGCGTGTTTCCATCTATACCGTCCATACGGCACCGCGGAGTATGATTTTGAAGTATTGGCAACACCTCCTGTTCCATCCACTCGTGTAGTCTTCGTTGGGTAACACCATCCAAACCAGGATTGTTGTTGTCGTCGCGGCCATAATGTGCATGAGGATCTTGTCCACGAAGAAGTCGTTGATCTTGTACTCCAGGTAGTGCGCCGGCATCTCGATGAAGAAGTCGTTGATCTGGTACTTCACGTTGTGCGCCGGCGTCTCGATGAGGAAGTCGCTGATCTTGTACTTCACGTAGATGTTCAGGTTCTCTTTGATCTCCCGGTAGAAGAGGATTTGCCACTGGACTTTGAGCTCGTTGAGGCCACAAGTCGATGTTGATAACGATAGTCGGCAACCGTCTGCACATACAGGTCGTCAAAAGGAGCACGAAGGAGACGACCAGCAACCATATCCACATCCAAGGCTGATAATCTTCCCATGTGAACCAGGTTTGTGTACTCATCAGCTTGTTGTTGTAGGACTTTGGGATTCTTGGCATAGAAGTCTGTTGACTTGAGCTTCTGGTGTTGTTCATAGAGGAATCGCCGAAGGGTTTTCTTGGCATAAGCTGAATGTCTTGACTTTTGGGAAACTTGTCTGGTTTTCTTCTCCTTGCTACCGCTGGGTTTCCGCTCGTCGTCGGAGTTGAGGTCGAAGCTTGCTGATGCCGATAGAAACCACGGTGTTCCTGGCGCTGCTGTTCCTTGTCCTTGTCCTGAAGCTTTGGGTTCTTCGCCAGGATGAGGAGCATTGGAAGAAGAATCATGAGCATTAGCATGGAGGCCATCGCTACTTTCATCCATGTCCCGTGGGACTCAACTGCTGAAACTGTCACGCCTTCCGCTCGATCGATCAACATAGAGGCTAACATGAGTCGGAATGCTTTCAAGCCTGTGGACCCAAAAATGGTCCTTCTGATGATCTCTTGCGCGTGTTCTTCATCACCCAAGCGAGTCTCACCATCAAAGACATGGAAATGGTAAAGCAACTGATTCATCTTTGATGCACTGAAAGTCTTTGTCAAAAGGTCTGCAGGGTTCACTCTCCCACTGATCTTGCGAATGCTGAAGCTACCTTCCTTAAGCTTTGACTGAATCCACAATGCACTGGTTGCCAAGTGACGCGTCCGACCACAACCAGCCTTCTTGCAGAAACCAATAGTAGCGCTCGCATCCGTCCGATGCACCAATTCAACCTTCTTGCCAGTGATGAAACTCACCACTTCTTTCAGGAACAATCCTTCAGCTACGGCTGCTAAACAGGCATACAGCTCACTTTCCATAGAACTCAGAGCAATCACATGCTGCCTACGAGATGTCGAGTACACTGGGATGCCGTTCAAGAAAATGCAAAAGCCCGTGGTAGACTTCCGATCATCACCCGAAGCAAAGTCTGCATCCGACACCGTTTCAAGCAAGTTCTCAACCTCAAACGATGAGTGGTCACCGATGCCACTCTGCTCATTCAAGAACGAACGACCTGGACATGTAGCTGGGAATCGAGTCTCATGATCCATAGTGCCTTTGAGGTACCTTGCCACATGCTTAAGGCACCGAAGATCCTGCTTGCAAGGCGCGGTGGCTTTCGAGGAAAGCCTTCTTGATGCGTGCTGCACTTCTGGCCGATCCGGCGAGATGTATAAGATGATCCCGGTACATGATCGAAACAGACTATGTTCATCTGCGGAAAGTGGTTCGTCGTCGTCTGGCTGAGGTGACATACCCGATGGCCAAACCGTTGGTTTTGATGATGCGTTCTGGAGCCCTAAAACTTCAAGAATCTTCAGAACATACTTTGGCTCCTGCTTCACGCTGATGTAGTCACCATGCCCTTCATACGCCCTCTTCAAGAAGCGACAGCTACCGGAATCCAACCTACACGGTCCTTCAACCTTCACCTTCAACTTGTTTAATTCGAGGTGCTCTCGAAGCTTCTCCATCTCGCCCGGTGCAGCAAGAACCTTGCCGTCATCCACATGAGTGTTGATGACCAGTCTCCCCGGGATAGCAAAGATCGCTGGAGCAACTTCACAAACTTTCATGTCATGCTTCTGAAGCACTGCACTGAAGAACTCATACCATCCCTGAGCACCATCCCGTTGACCTGGTAGATTGTACAGGATTCTGTAGACCCGGCCGTTGGCCCTGACGTATTTGGGTGTGCGCTGTGGGACCATGAGATAAGCGTCTGAAATGTCTAGCGAATACAGCTCTAGCTCAACTGATGTAGCAGCCATTGCCGCAAGGAGTTTTGTGGTACTAGAGATAGAAGCTGGACTATACAAGTCATCAAGCTCTGGGGATAGAGAACGAAACTCTCGACCCACCAGGCGGCTTCTTCTTGTCCACTTATCATCTCTCCACCTCCAATCGCGGACGAACTTTGAGCTCAACTCGGTTGTGTCATCATCCAACTGTTCTTCATCTGCATTCACTAATACACCCATGCCAACAAGCCTATCGAGTTCGAACTGATCACGCTCGGCATCGAGTTGTGCCAAGGCCTCATCGCTCAGCTCTGGTGGACCCGCTTCGTAGTTGTTCAGCATAATCGTGTCCATCTCATCAATTACCTGATTGAACTCACCATCGTCTTGAGGATCCACTACTTGATCATGCTCTTCAGACACTTCCGGGACTTCAATCGGCTCTGACGGGTCATACAAGTCATCTCTAAGTCTGCGCACCATAAATGAAACATGTGCAACACGGCTCTCACCAAGCTTTCTGAACTTCGGACTGCTCTCCAAAGCTGCACTACCTTCCTCCTCTACTCCAACATTCTCTGCCAAGATGTCTCGTGATCCACCAGATGCAGATCCAGTGCCACTGCTCCCACTGCCGCTCTCACCTGGTAGTGACATGGAGTCGAGCGACACGTCTTTCTTAGAGGTAGAGGAGGATGAGGAAGTTGTTGGGTCTGAACCTGCTTCATCTCCCGGTCCACTTTGCTCTCTCTGATCTCGTTCTTCTTCTGGAGGTGCTTGTTCTGCTTGCTCAACAACTGCTGGGAGACGAATACGACGACCACCACGAGGGACTCGAACACCAACTACACCAAGAGTCAAATTCCACGATACGCCTTTCACTGCATCCGAGAGCATCGGTTCAAACTCGGTAGGGGACCTCCTGATAGTACGAGCAAATTGTATACCTTCAGAGGTGCCGATCACATTGAGCGCGCCACTATGGGATCTGCCTAGGTACACACCCTTGATCCACGTTGCACCCTTGGCCTTGACTTTGGGCAGGCACTGAGCAAACACTGAGCATCCGAAAGGAGCAATTTTCGCGGCAAACGAGTGGCCATGGATCAATTCGTAAGGAGTTTGACCAGACGATAGAACATGATAACGAGAATGAAGCCACCCTGCATGTCGGAATGCCCATGTGAACATCGGGTGAAACGACTTGACCTGGTAGCCACACTTCAACTCAATCGCTCTAAGGAGGCAATTTCCAAGCTGACGTATTGTTTGCACATAGCGCTCTGCAGGCAATCCTTGATGTGTTGACGCATCTGGGGGCACAGGCTCGCGTTCTGTCTTGAATCCAAGCTTCGTGCGAACTTGAGTGATGTGGTCTACAAGCTGGTTCATCGCTGGTTCGGTATCAGCGCGGATGTGTACTTCGCGATACCCTAAGGACGACATCATTCTCACAATCTCCTCAGTGCAACCGCGAACTGAAGCTCCACCTTTGACGTCAATGGGCAAGACCAGGACATACTTTGTCTTCATGTCGACGACCAACAAGTGCTCACACAACGGATCTCTCTCATCTGCTGTGCCCTCGGTCCCCGTGTACATGTAGTCCAATGACACGACTGGTATTGCACGTTCTTCGGGCGAAGTTGCGGTATGATTATCCTCTCTCGAGCGCGCAGCTAGGCATGCTTGGCACCATGGTTGTCGCGGTAAATGTGTCAGAGCATGTAATTCTTGTTCAGCAACCGATGGCAACTTTGCTAGCGGTTCTCCTTCAGCAGGTCTCTCATACTCTTTCAACACTGCGTCGGCAATCTGCGTGACTGCATCTAGCCTAGACTTTGTGACCGATTGTTTGATGCGATTCCATAGTACAGCCTTTGTACCATGATGGGAGATGTCCAAGAACTTGCATGCGGCACGAAGTGTTCCCAATGACGAAGCTTCATCAACATCTATGCCAGCAAGTGAAACTCTCTCTCTTCCATCATCTACCTGAACTTCTGGAGGAGGCACCATAGGAGCCTGTTCCGCATCGCGCGCCGCCAAAGCCTCTTGAGCTTCCGCGCGTTCACTCTCCCTCTTTTCTCTCTCCAACTCTTCTCCGATGCCAGCTGCCGGTACCGAATCACGTACAAGCTTCCCGAAGCGCTGGATTTCAACAGGACGTGTAGACAGCAAAGTGAGAATGGTGTAGTTCGCCCCATCAGGTGAAATCTGTTTCCGTTCATTGCCTTCCCAATACGCTCCCAACTCAAAGACTTCGAAATGGTCTGGTTTCGGACGACCTGGGATGTGAAGAAGCGTAGTTCTATAGGGCCAATGATCACACGGAAACGAAAGACTGGGATCTTCTGTGACCGACGAGTGCTTGCTCACGAATACAGGAGTTTCATCACTCGTTAGCTGCCAACCGTCCGTGCCCCTCACAACTGTCTGCACAAGTTCATCACCGACATGAAGAACTGCACGAACGTCAAGCTCATCTTGATCACAGATCTGTCTGATGTACATGTTCATGGCCAACGAGTTCTTCTGGAAATGCACAGGCACATGTCTCTCACCCTTGGACAACAGCATAGACTCTTCACCCTGAACCAAACTCCAGCCATCTCGAAACAACCGTGCTGAACAGAGCAGCGGTGCTGCGACCTGCGCCAGCACAGCATCATCTTCAAAGACGACCGTGTCGCCTTCCATCGTTTCAACCTCGAATTGGACTCGAGCTCTCAGGCTACCTCCTGGAATGGAGTTGCCCTGCGCATCTCGAAGCTTGTAGGGCTTTCTGTTGTCGGAAGTTCTCACACCTACCTCCGCAAAGCGATCAATTGGAAGGACTGTGACATCCGCACCGCTATCGAAAATCACGCTCTCAAGCTCCACAGTCCCGACAGCACGCACATGATGATGGAGTTGATCGGCAGTGATGTTGGCTTCCCCTACAGCGATATTGTCTATGAAGCTTCCCTCACAATCACAAAGCTCATCTTCATGAAATGGTTCTTCAGCTTCACAATCCGGATCGTCAGAGAGCTCATCTTGCACCGTGAGATCATAAACCAAACAACTCGTACTCACTAGCTCGGACTCTTCGTCTGACACCCCAAGGCGTCGCACCCAATCTCCGTACTCAGGCTCCGTAGGCCAAGATGCCCACTCAGCTTCCGCATAAGCTTCCCAAGAAGCTTGATCATAAGGATCCCCCTCGGCTTCAGCTACGTAGGCTTCCCAGGATGCTTCATCTAGATACTGCTCACCGTCAGCTTCGAACTGCATCTGCCACTCAGCGTCATACAAAGCATCACTCCACTGCTGATCATCGCCATGCTCACTCTCAGTGCACTCTCCTAGATCTCCAAGTCCAGCAGCTTGCAACCTCCGAACAAACCCCGCGCTCTGAGCAGGCCTCGCCATCGAAGTCGCCACACCACCAGTAGCAGTTGAAGCCGTCGTACTTGCTGTAGCCGCTGTAGACCCAGGTTTTACCTGGGATGCAGAGTCACTCGGAGCCACACTTGGAGCGTACGTGCCAGCGCCGCTCTCCACTTGACGAACAGTGCCCCAACAGTCTGCAGCCACATGTCCCATGCGACCACACGCGTAGCAAGGACCAACACCTTTCGAACCTTTACCTTTGGGACCTTTGTTCTGCTTGCCTTTCTGCTGTGACTTTCCTTTTCCACTACCGTAGAAGGGCGACATCATGAGCTTTCCTTTCTTGCCACCGAACTTGCCCTTGCCTTTGAAGCCTTTCTGATGAAAACCTCCAGGGACTCCTTGAAGCCCAAATGGTTTCCCCTTCAAGCCCTTCTGGTAGGGCTTGCCTTTGCCGTACTTTCCACCACCAAACGCTCCCTTGCCTTTGGGCTTACCACCAGACTCAGCATGAAGTCTATCAATCTCCATTGGACTCGGACCGCTCTGATCACTCGTGAAAGGCATGCCGAAAGATGACGTAGTTGATGATGTGAGCTGCAAACCACGCATGACATGTTCTGTAGTCCAACTAGCCGTAGTCTTCTCAAACTGCAAAAGCTTGTCTCTAAGCCCCGTGTATGTTGTGTCACCGGACAAGTTCAACTGAATGTGTCGCTTCACATCACTCGGCAATCCCTTCAGAAGTGTGCTCATCTTCAAGTTGTCAGGATAAAAGGTATGACTGACAGCCTCATATTCGCGGATCAGTCTCTCGTAGACCAACACATATTCAAGGAGGGAGCTTCCAGCCTGAAGTGGCGGAAACGACACCAGCGCTTCCGCAAGCGCCAGCTCACGGCTTCTGGTAGAAGGCTTCAATTCCTGATGTAGTCTCTGCCAAACGAGGAGCCCGTCACGGTTCGTGACAGCCTTCAGGAGCCTAAGGGGCCTACCTTTCAAGTAGGAAGAAAGAATAGAGTAGAGACGATAGGCCCTCTTCCTACCAGCATCCGAGTACTTGTTGATGTCCATGCTTTCAGCTTGTGTTTCGGCATGTCGAAGATCTTCACGATAATCCGGATCATGTACAAGTAGCCAATTGACAAAAAGAAAAGACCATTCCTCGAAACCACTGATTTCTTCTTCAAGGGATTTTGGAGCAAACACATCTGGAGCTTTGACGGCCTTGCCGCCATCCTTGAACGAGTTGCTATTCGACGAAGCCAATGATTGTATAGCCTGAGCTAGCTGTTGTACTACCGAATCTGGAAGTGTTGCAGCTGCTGATTGAGCACTTGCTTGAGCTGGTGCTGTTGGGCTCTGGGGAGAAGGTCCTTCGAAGCCGGGAGGAGGTGCTCCAGCTTCCATTTCACTTATGTCGTCGTCACTCATCCTTCGCAGCCAGACTCAAGGCCGTTCAAGTTTCTGATGTTCCGCAAAACAAGAAAATTTTGAAGAAAATGAAGTACAGGCCACCCTCGAGCGGCTCTTGAAAGAAGATATAGGATTTCAGGCCACCCTCGAGCGGCTCAAAGAGTTGTAGTCTCCCGCAAGAGGCTACTTCGCGAATTGCAGTGGCTCGCCGCCACACTCTTGTACTCAGTGCCCTAGAACTGGCCGCCGCGCAGCCCGATGGCTCACTCAACCGAAAGACACACACTTGGGCACTACTCTACACACCTACACACACACACACACTGGGGTTTGGTTCCTGACCCCGAGCAATGAGCCCAGACCCAAAGGAATGGACCTCAAAGCTCCGCTACCATAACAAATACGGTCGCGAACTTTTCACTCAGCAAAACGGCCTTGTAAAGCGGAGTGTCTCAGGTACTGCACATGCGCATTGTTATGCACACTGAAAAGGGGCATGCTAGGTAACAGAAGTATTTAACACCACGGTATGTAGGGTTCGGCGGGTCCTCTCGAGGGAACCGCTCCGCTCGTTCTCGTCGCCTTCTGCGAAGAAAATCTTCATCGGCAGCGCAGGCAGCTTCCGGTGGTGGTGGAGGGGGCCTTGGCGGTTCCTCCTCAAATCTCGCTGTTGGCAGCGGGGATCCACGCACTGACTCTCGGGTCAGTATCCTCGTAAGATCCACGCCCGCTTTTTCCGCAAGACTCGAGAGGGTCACTTTGCCTTCGAGCTCCAGCGTTCCAGGGTCCTCTTGTAGCAGCTGATTCAGCTTCCTCATCTCTTTCTTAGAAAGCCGCTGCTCAGCCTGCATAGACCTCACACGCGCTGATTCCGCTCGCCGATAACAGTGTCGGCCTCCCTCCCACAACGCTACCACACAGATAACCAGCATAAGAATCACACCATACAGCTCCAGAGATGAGTCCACGGCCAAGGGCGAGTGGGCTTCCGGGTCGTCCCTAGCTACAACTGAAGCTATATTCTGAAGAGCAACTAGCAATCCCAGACAACACCCCATGTTGTTGTTGCCGGCTGTTGCGCTTGTGTTGACCTGCTGCTGCGGTTGCTGCTGCTGTAGCGCTGAGGCTCGAACCTGCCGAACGAAACCTCTTCCATCATCTCCTCGAGCGTGTCCGGGGTGCGGTTCACCTTCTCGCCGTCGACATAATCCCCAGGACTCGAGAATCCACTCCATTCGCTTTGCCGCCAGGATCTTTGTCAGGCCATCGGCAAGTTGACGTTCTCCCGGGCAATACGATATTCCTATCCAGCCTCGCTGGATCTGTTGTCGAAGTGCTCCGGCTCGAACCTTGAGATGCCGGGTTCTCCAGCTCCCCCCTTCTTCCGACGCCAGGACGATCGCTGCTGAATTGTCCACTCGAAGTTCCCTTTTCTCAACGATAGCTCCCATGTCCTGTAAAAGGGCATCAATGGAAGCTGTCAGGGTCGAACCCTCGCTCGCCGCCAACAACTCTGTCTCCGCCGAACTCGTTGCAATGAGTCCCTGGCGACCGCTTCTCCAAGCGACCGGACTGCCGGCCCAGAACACCACCACCCCGCCATGGCTTCGGTCTCCATCCGGTGCATAGCTGCTGTCGGTGTAGGTGATGATGTCACGCGCGCCCTCGGTGCCGTAATGGAGCTTCCATTCCTTCGTGTAGTTCAAGTAGGCGAGGACCTTTCTTCCCACCTGCACTGCACGGGCTGGGTCCTTGCTCATCATAGAACTCATCACACTAACAGTGTAGGCCAAATCTGGCCTACACCTCTGGGCTAGCCATGCTAGCTCGCCCGTTATCCATTGGGCGGCCTTGAGGTCCTTCTCGTCGAACGACTCCGGGTAGCACTCGGGATCCAGGCTCATCCATTCCTTTGCTGAGGGAATGGTTGACATCTGCTTCTCACCGATGTCGTACTGCCTTAGCAGCTCCTGCACATAGCCTTCCTGGTCCAACGAGAAACCGAGGAAGTCTCCACTGTCATTTTCGACGGATCGAATTTCCATGCCGAGGAAGCGGATTGCATTCTCCTTGGTGGCGAACTGGATTTCCGTAGTTTGCCACGTTGTGGAAAACCAAGCATGAACGTCCTCGCACACTTCCTTCGGTCCAGTCACCAGGTAGTCGTCCACATAGACAGCGATAAGCCCCTTTAGCTCACCGCTAGAGTCCACGACCCTCCATATGTTGGGGTCGGCGGTTCCCTGCTCGAACTTCAAGTTGTTCGCCGTAAGTGCCTTCCTCATCATGTCGGTGCGGTGTTCCCCCACCAGCGGGGACTTGATCTGAATCCATAGACTGCCGCAAGGGCAATCCACAGCTCGTCCGGTTCACATAGTCCCGCCCTCACTAACACGGCAGGGGGTTTGATAGCCAAGTGGACTCCATCAGGGACAGGTGCTCGTAAGAAGGCGCTGGTCACATTTACATCTCCATTGATGAGGCACCATCGACGTCGGGCGCCCTCACCAACCATCAACCGCACGGCTTCAGCTGCCGCACCGCCACTGTAGTTCACCTCATCGTCGGACTTCTTCTGGAAGTTTCCACAACTGACTATCCTTGTTCTCCGCCGAAACATAGTATTTGGCTTTGACGGAGGTTTTGCTGTATACACTCCCTGTCCCGGAACCACCACGGCTCCAGGAAGTCTCAGGAAGTCCTTCGCTTCCTGCCCCTTTACTCTTTTGATCGCGTTCATGGACTCCATGGCCTTGATCTCATCCATCATCGAAGGAACCCATTTCTCAAGGTTCTTTTCCACTTCCGCCGGGTGGACGGTGTGGACAACCCTGAGCTCGGTTTGATCCGTCTCACAAGTAGACAGTATTCCTTCAACATCCGGAGTGTAAAGATTCTCAGCGGCTGCCTTGGCGACCCTCATAACATCAGCTTCCACCTCCGTGATCCTATCGACGAGGTCAAAATCCTTGATTGCATCATCCTCGTCCGTCACGAAGGGGTAGTGGAGGACTTGGTCATTCACTTCCTGGATAGCCTTCACGCGCGCGTGGTCGTCCGCCTCCTCAGGCAGCACAAAGCCTGCCTCCTCAAGCACATTCTCCATTTCCTGACTGAGCTTTCGCCAGGAGCCTATTGTATGTCCAACCGCAATCAGACGTGGCCCCTCAGTTCCTTGGACCACGCAATGCCATCGCTTCGGGTTGACCTTCGCAGGGTTCGTCAACGAGTGAACTTGGCCTGGGGTGGTCTTGTCATTGACGAGCATGTCCATGTAGCGTCCTGAAAAAACATCACCAGGTCTCAGCTCCTCCCATACTCCAGCGCCTTCGGTCACCTCTAGCGGGGACACTAAGTTCCAGGAATTCTTGTCATTGAACACGTCCCTGTGGGTGGGCATACATGTGTTTTTCACTAGGGTTGCAAACGTAAAGGTCTCATCCGGAAAGTCCAGCTGGAGGAGCTCCGTTACCTTTCTTGTAAGCTCCGGGGCTTCACTCGTGTATTTCGTCACTCCATACTGGCCTCCGTGATTGAACGCGCCCATCGTGACATAGCCGCTGCTGGGGTCGGGCGCGGCCTCCGTCACCAACTGTGGCCTCTTCACCGAGTGGGCTGGGTCTTTGGCAACCAGCTCCAAAATCTCCTGGACCAACCGCCTTCGGTGGGATGCCCCAAACGTCAGACTTCTGACAGCCACACCATCCGCATCCACTGCCGACTTCCCTCGTAGACGCCGCCGTGGTGGGGGCTCAAACTCTCGCACATCCGCATCCGCCGCAGTGCCAGGATCATGTAGGCGAGGTCGCACATTGGTTGTGACCATGATCCTGCCATTCTCATCCTCGAGGACAGCGGAGCCATTTCGAACATCCCACACCGGACCCAGATAAGTTCCCTTCACCCAGTGCGGCATCAAGTCGTGTTTACCACCATCACTGTAGCGCTTCTTCCTGATCGCCACCCTGGTTCCATACGGGCACACAGGGTTGAAGGTCTCGGGGTTCAGCCTTTTTTCGCGCTGGTTATGGGCAGCCGTGACCATAGCAGTAGCCCAGTGCGATGTAGGCAACCCGGAAGTCCTCAACAGTAGGCGAGCCTGCCCCTTTAGGTAGCGCACCGCCCTCTCCGCCGTGCCATTTGACTGAGGGGATTGACCCTCAGTCCGCGTCAACATAATTTGTTGACCAAGGGTCCATTCCCTCAGCGCAGGAGATCGAAGTTCATGAGCCCGGTCGCTGTGGATTCGAACGACTGGAAGGTTCATGTGCTTGAGCTCCAGGATGATTTCTTGGATCGCCTGCATAACTTGCTTGGCTTTCTTACCCTTCAAGGGTTTGACAAAGTAAAGGTGATCCATGGGAATCTCGCGGTTCCCTTCCAAAAGCTCATCTTGTTCTTGATTTGCACGCTGTTGGCGGTCTGCTTCCTCGTCGTCATTCCACAGCTCCTCGCCCTTGACCTTCCTCAACGAGGGATCTCCTTCTTCGTCTCCTCGATCCAAAGGTTCCTCCTCGCCGAAGTCAATGAATCCGACACCTCCCTCGGGCTCCGCCTCATCGTCGGCCGGCTCGTCGAGCTCTGGGACCTCCAAATCCAAGTTCCGGAAGTCATAGTCTTCCGCCGCAAGGTCCTCGGGTAAAGGCTCGGGCGGATCCTCCTGGTCTTCAAACTTCGGCTTGGTGTAGGCCGCCGCCAAGAAATAGCGGTATCCATAGCCACGCGCATCCCTCGACACCGCCCTCAACGGACCTCCCACATCAACGCTCAACACATAAGCGCTCTTTTGTTTGGTCCTCCGGTGGGGCCGTCCCGTGCCCAAAGACATCACGCATTGCTCACAGTCCTTTCTGAAAGGTACATGATCTCGTTGTACATGAAGTCTCCAACCTTGCTCCGCTGTCATCTTCCGTACGTCTGGTCCTGGGTCGCGATGGGCCCAAGCTCGTGTAGATGCAACACCAGAGTCCATGAGTTTCTCGGCCACATTCCTCCGGACAGCTGAAACCCACGGTCTCCGCTCATCTTGCTTGCCCCCCTTCACGTCCTCGGACTCCCGCATCTCATCAAAGAACTCAAAGTCCAAGTTGCTCACGATTGTGACGGGGGACTTGCTCAGGTAGCCAAACGCTCCTTGGTCGAAAGAGACTTTCTTCATTGTAAGGGCTCCGTTGCCTCCATGAACGACCTCATCATAGGCGTTCGCCACAAACTCGGGGCATCCCTTCCGTTCACAATCTCCTCGGCGTTCTCGGGGTGGCTCATACAGAACTTCACCTCATGGCCGCCAGACTTCGCATGGGCGACCAGGTACAGCATGAGTTGTCGAGCCACCAAAGTGGTCTCCTTGTCCACATAGTACCGGTCCGTGGGGCTCAGATCCAAGAGGCCGTAGGGCTCCTTGGTAGACCGAACCGGGCCTGGATAACCGGGTCGATCTTCATGCCTTTTCAAACTGAACGTACCCGCTGGCGGGGCACCCAAGACTGCCTTCACCCTCGAAGACATCGCTCCCCACATCAGGGCCTTGTAGGCGGGCCCCATCATTGACCACCCACCATTCAACAAAACATCCACATTCACGACCACGACCTCAGTATTTGTTCCTGGGTTGATTTGGCCCGTGAGAGCTTGGATGGGGTCCGCATTCACCTTGGTACCGCCGTACATGTTCAAAATCCAAGCCCTGGACCTCATCAGTCGCTTGCGAAGTCGCCTGCATAGCGGAAGACCCTTCAAATACTCCCACCCCTTTTCATCAGTGACCTCCACATTGGGGACCATCGTGCCCGTCACAGCTTCCGGAAGGCCCTTGAAGATGGGGGACTTGAACAGGACCTGTAGACCATCCACCACACACCCCTCCTGAGCGTAGGCGGCGAGGTTCTGCCTCCAATCCTCCTTGTTCACCTCCATCATTCTCACCGCATTGAGCTTCTGCTGGAGGCCTTCTGCCCTTTGCTTCAGCTCTTCGACCTTTTTCATCTCGAGCTCCGCGATGATCTCCGCCGCCTGACCCGCATCGGTCATCTCCGGACATCCTGCACGCAACCGCGTCCTGATTCGTCCATGCCGCGGATGGATCAAAGTAAAACCTCCCTTCGTCCATTTCAGAGTGCAGCCAAGGATGTCAATCATGGCACCGAAGGGAACGATGGGCTGCACTCGGTCCTTCTCCTCCGCCGCCAGCAAAATGCTGCCAGAAGGAGCTTGCTTCAGGATCCGTTGCTCGTCTCCTGCCAAAGTCACACCGACTGCCTTGGTGTTATCTTCCTCAAGACGATCTCGAGCAGGGCGCAGAACATGAGTCGCGCCGGAGTCCAGAAGAACTCCTGAGTCCTCGGTCCGTGGAGCTTCCCGGGTTCCATCAACTTTCATCGTCTTCAGCTTCAGCTCATCCAGCTGTCTCTGTATCGACTCGTACGTTGGGGCCGAAGAGGAGGAGGTTGAAGCAGGCAAACCCGAGCTGGCCATCATCGACTTCAGCATGTTTGAAGCATCTTCAATGACCTTCTTGAGGGCCTCCTGTCCCTCTCCTTCCTTTGGTTGCCTACCACGACCGGTTGGTGAGGTAGACGGAGACGGCTCTGCAGCCGGCTGGGTTGTAGTAGAGGACGTTCCTGACTCCGTGGGGCCATTCATAGTCCGAGCTGATGGTCCTCCTGTTGTAGTCGCTGAGGCGGACTGCAGTTGATCACCCCTTTGCCTTGGAGCCGCTTGGGCAGGTTTCTCCTTGGCAGGGCAGTCCTTCTTCATGTGGGAGGTTGCAGAACAGATCAAACACCGTCCGGCCTTTGGTACCGATCCCCACTCATGAGCAAATTGGCAATCTCCCCCGCGCTTGCAGCCTGCGTCCGTCTTAGCGAACCACTTGCATGGCCTCTGGGTGGAAGTTGTAGTAGAGGAGGTCGACGGTGCTGCCTTGGGCTTCGGAGCTGGTTGGTCTCCCGGCCCCTGTGCCTGCATTCCCTTGATCTTGGGACCCTTCTCAGAGGTCGGTGTCCTTGAAGCATCAGGCGTCGAAGACGTTGCCGAAGTTCTCTTTGATCCACTGGCCAAAGCTTCGGCTTCAGCCAACAAGTGCTTATGAAAAGCAATCACTGAATCATGCGTCGGCTTCGTATCGAGCTTCAGCATCGTGCGCACCAAGGATGTGCGAAACGCAGCTTCTGAGTTGCCATCCAAGACTCCCTGCATGATGACCGATAAGGCTCTCAAAAGCACCGACGGGTCTGGCGTCGAGACGCCTACGTCGCCGGCTCGCCTGAACCACCTTTCCCAATCCCGCAACGACTTCGCAGCCTTGAAGGGCTCAGTCTGAGCCGTTGGGGACTGCAGCTGGTCCAAGACCAGCCTCTTCTCAGTCTCGCCGCCCGGCTGGTATAAGGTGAGCACTCGGTACAGTATCTGCGTTGCCGACTGCGTAGAGCGCCTCATCACCAAGTCGGCCCTTACCGAAGAATCAAGGGAGGCCAATAGCATGGACGCCGCCCTCGAATTCAGCCTCGCAAACTTGCCCTCCTCGAGCTTCTTGTCCACCGGGGCCTTCATCGCCAGACGCTCCAGTGGGGTGGCGTTCGACCACTGCTCATATCCTTTCTGGGCTAGCGCTTGAACCTTGGTCCACCAGTCATAGGAGCTGTCGCTCAAATCCGCCATCGGCGCTTGTAAAAGCTGCAACCAGTCCTGAACTTCCACCGGAGAGGTCTCGGGATCAGGAGCCTTGAGCTCCGAAAGCGCCGCTACTCCAGGCTTCACCGTCTCTGGGTCCGTCCCTTCTGACTTTCGGTCCAAGGCACGAACCTGCGCTTCCTGAAGCTGCTTCATTCCCTGCGCGATGACCCCCAGGAGATCCAGATGAGTCGTGTCCTTCTCTTCGGAGCCTTCGTGAACGCGACTCGTCGGGACAACGTGACTTGAGCTAGCGACCCCTGGTACTTGTTCTGCTTCACGACTCTGGTCATATGCCCGATCACCTCCAGGTAGATTCTGCTGCATTGTGGGACGATCACCTCCAGGTAGATTCTGCTGCATTGTGGGACGATCACCTCCAGGTAGATTCTGCTGCATTGTGGGACGATCACCTCCAGGTAGATTCTGCTGCATTGTGGGACGATCACCTCCAGGTAGATTCTGCTGCATTGTGGGACGATCACCTCCAGGTAGATTCTGCTGCATTGTGGGACGATCACCTCCAGGTAGATTCTGCTGCATTGTGGGACGATCACCTCCAGGTAGTCCTGCTGCATTGCCCGATCACCTCCAGGTAGTCCTTGCTGCATTGCCCGATCACCTCCAGGTAGATTCTGTTGCATTGTGGGACGATCACCTTCAGGTAGTCCTTGCTGCATTGCCCGATCACCTCCAGGTAGATTCTGTTGCATTGCCCGATCACCTTCAGGTAGTCCCTGTTGTCTTGCTCGATCAGCAAGTAGTTGATTTCTTTCATACTGAAGCTGCTGAACTTGCCCTCGGAGGTCTCTAGCTTCTCCTTCGTACCTTTGAACGTAGCGAGCCAGCCGTCGTTGGACCTCAGCTTGAATCTCATCCGAGGACGTTGAGCTCCCCTCGGGCGGAAACAACAAAGGCGCATCCCTTGGCCCCCTCCTCAGCCTCGCGGTCTGCTCAGGTGTGAACAAAGGCGCTGGAGCCTGCTCAAGTGACCTCAGTGGTACCTGACTTCGCTGCTGAGGTGAAGGAAACTCTTCAGGAGGAGAAAAGTTCAAATCTCCAATCCTTCTTATAGGAGAAAAAGTCGCCGGATACAGATCTCGCTGCTGGTGCTCCTGCTGGTGTTGCTGTTGTTGCTGCTGAGCTGCCGGGGTTGCTGCCTGGGATCCTAGAAAGCCCAAACCTTCCATAGCCCGGCCCTGAAACCCACTCGTCCTCGTAGTTGTGGCTCGTAAAAACTCAGTCAGTCGTGCAACCCAGCGAACTGCCGGTAGACCTTCTGCAGCCTCATACGAATATTCCATCGCCACCGTACGCTCGGCCCGATGCGGTTGATCCATCGTGGATCCCACTGGAACTCTCGCCCTTCGCGGCGACGGAGGACTCGCTGTGACTGAAACTCATTCATGAGCCTAGGGGTATTTCTCAGCAGGGGTACTTCTCAGCCACCACCGAAGATTTAAGAAGATTGTTGAATTATTTGGAAGATTGTTGAAGAAAAACGAATTATTTGGAAGATTGTTGAAGAAAAATGAATTATTTAGAAGATTATTGAAGAAAAACAAATTATTTGGAAGATTGTGGGTTTCAATTTGAAGCTTAAACACGGTTTAGGGAAGTTTAGGGCTCATGGTTTAAGCTTCCTGGCACGGCTCGAGGACCTGCCAAAATGGAACACCGAGGTTTATTATTCGAAATTCTTCGTTGTATCTGCGGAGAACTTCAAACACTTTTCTAGACTTGTGCTTGTTTCCCCCAGCTGAAACCGCCAGATGTGCTCAGTGTAGCTGCCAAAACTGGCGGGCATGCAGCTGCCGCTTGGTAGAGCAACATACACCAAACCCCATTCTGAACATGTTGGCACTCTGCCTTCGACAAAGACAACCCAACAGCAAGGTTCTCTGTGATAACAGGCATGAATGAGACGGAGGAACACACCAGCTCAACAACACAGCCATGTCCCAAGAACGGCCTCCCTTCTTTGTCCGGTATTGCTTCCGGTGACTTGCATGACTGCTTCGATGTCACCAGGTCAGGCCCCAGCCGGCGCATTAGCCCATGTGCCCGGCTGTCATCTATCCCCTGCCCCTGGGATAGGTTGGCCTCAAGGCTGTGACACAGGCAAACCGAACGCCTCACACCTGGCCAATGGTGTGGGGAGCAACCCCGATGGGGCAGGGGTTTACTCCTTAGGTAAGGCAACCCCGAGGAGGTTCGACTGACACTCTAATTACTGTACTACTGCTCGATATTTGGCCTCCCATGTTGCTGAGGTGGACACTCAAATTATTTGGAAGATTGTGGGTTTCAATTTGAAGCTTAAACACGGTTTAGGGAAGTTTAGGGCTCATGGTTTAAGCTTCCTGGCACGGCTCGAGGACCTGCCAAAATGGAACACCGAGGTTTATTATTCGAAATTCTTCGTTGTATCTGCGGAGAACTTCAAACACTTTTCTAGACTTGTGCTTGTTTCCCCCAGCTGAAACCGCCAGATGTGCTCAGTGTAGCTGCCAAAACTGGCGGGCATGCAGCTGCCGCTTGGTAGAGCAACATACACCAAACCCCATTCTGAACATGTTGGCACTCTGCCTTCGACAAAGACAACCCAACAGCAAGGTTCTCTGTGATAACAGGCATGAATGAGACGGAGGAACACACCAGCTCAACAACACAGCCATGTCCCAAGAACGGCCTCCCTTCTTTGTCCGGTATTGCTTCCGGTGACTTGCATGACTGCTTCGATGTCACCAGGTCAGGCCCCAGCCGGCGCATTAGCCCATGTGCCCGGCTGTCATCTATCCCCTGCCCCTGGGATAGGTTGGCCTCAAGGCTGTGACACAGGCAAACCGAACGCCTCACACCTGGCCAATGGTGTGGGGAGCAACCCCGATGGGGCAGGGGTTTACTCCTTAGGTAAGGCAACCCCGAGGAGGTTCGACTGACACTCTAATTACTGTACTACTGCTCGATATTTGGCCTCCCATGTTGCTGAGGTGGACACTCAAATTATTTGGAAGATTGTGGGTTTCAATTTGAAGCTTAAACACGGTTTAGGGAAGTTTAGGGCTCATGGTTTAAGCTTCCTGGCACGGCTCGAGGACCTGCCAAAATGGAACACCGAGGTTTATTATTCGAAATTCTTCGTTGTATCTGCGGAGAACTTCAAACACTTTTCTAGACTTGTGCTTGTTTCCCCCAGCTGAAACCGCCAGATGTGCTCAGTGTAGCTGCCAAAACTGGCGGGCATGCAGCTGCCGCTTGGTAGAGCAACATACACCAAACCCCATTCTGAACATGTTGGCACTCTGCCTTCGACAAAGACAACCCAACAGCAAGGTTCTCTGTGATAACAGGCATGAATGAGACGGAGGAACACACCAGCTCAACAACACAGCCATGTCCCAAGAACGGCCTCCCTTCTTTGTCCGGTATTGCTTCCGGTGACTTGCATGACTGCTTCGATGTCACCAGGTCAGGCCCCAGCCGGCGCATTAGCCCATGTGCCCGGCTGTCATCTATCCCCTGCCCCTGGGATAGGTTGGCCTCAAGGCTGTGACACAGGCAAACCGAACGCCTCACACCTGGCCAATGGTGTGGGGAGCAACCCCGATGGGGCAGGGGTTTACTCCTTAGGTAAGGCAACCCCGAGGAGGTTCGACTGACACTCTAATTACTGTACTACTGCTCGATATTTGGCCTCCCATGTTGCTGAGGTGGACACTCAAATTATTTGGAAGATTGTGGGTTTCAATTTGAAGCTTAAACACGGTTTAGGGAAGTTTAGGGCTCATGGTTTAAGCTTCCTGGCACGGCTCGAGGACCTGCCAAAATGGAACACCGAGGTTTATTATTCGAAATTCTTCGTTGTATCTGCGGAGAACTTCAAACACTTTTCTAGACTTGTGCTTGTTTCCCCCAGCTGAAACCGCCAGATGTGCTCAGTGTAGCTGCCAAAACTGGCGGGCATGCAGCTGCCGCTTGGTAGAGCAACATACACCAAACCCCATTCTGAACATGTTGGCACTCTGCCTTCGACAAAGACAACCCAACAGCAAGGTTCTCTGTGATAACAGGCATGAATGAGACGGAGGAACACACCAGCTCAACAACACAGCCATGTCCCAAGAACGGCCTCCCTTCTTTGTCCGGTATTGCTTCCGGTGACTTGCATGACTGCTTCGATGTCACCAGGTCAGGCCCCAGCCGGCGCATTAGCCCATGTGCCCGGCTGTCATCTATCCCCTGCCCCTGGGATAGGTTGGCCTCAAGGCTGTGACACAGGCAAACCGAACGCCTCACACCTGGCCAATGGTGTGGGGAGCAACCCCGATGGGGCAGGGGTTTACTCCTTAGGTAAGGCAACCCCGAGGAGGTTCGACTGACACTCTAATTACTGTACTACTGCTCGATATTTGGCCTCCCATGTTGCTGAGGTGGACACTCGGGTGCCGAGCTCGGACCCAGCCAGCACGTTGGCATATGTGTGACTGGCTGTCATCACCAGGTGTCCGCTCTGGTGGTTGGCCCCAAGTCCTCGATCGGTTCCTTCTTCCGCGGTCCGCCAGAGCGACCCCATGCCCGGCCATCGGCATGCAAGCGCGGCTGGTGAATCAAAACTGGACACACCGCGACTTGTTGGTAAGGTTGGTGTGACATAAGATGCCATGCAGGGCCACGCGGGCAACTTCCAGCGATGGGCAAAGTGCTTCAAGACTTTGCCCGCGGGCGCGGGTACGTGGCATAGTATTTAGTAGTCGGGCCTTCCCTGCAATCTGCGCTGAATCACCTGCCGTGGGCACACCACTTTGCTAGGCGAGCACAGACAGAATAAATCCCCAGCGCCGGCCAACGACACTGTCCCGCACGGTCAAGGACCCATAACTCGGGTCCGAGCCCGACTGGAGCGCGGTCTGTAAGACCACGGAGCTGGGGCATGCAGGATGGGTAGGGCGAGTCGAAAGCAAGCAGCAAGCCAACCAAGACATGGCACGTGACAAGGGACCAAGTACATGACATTCTTCGAGAGAACACTTTACCCGGAATGCAAAACCTCAACTCATTGCTAGTGTGCCGTCCAAGCAAACGCTTTCGAGAGAGCCATGGGCAGTGTCATTCTGTCGTCGATCCAAGAGAACAGAAAGCATGTGCTCAGCAGAAAGAGATATAACCTAATCATGGGTTAGCGGCCTCCCCCATTTGCTCTTTTCCTCCCGCCCGTTCGGTTAGTTGGAATGCCGCTTCGGCTGAGGAGTGAGGCAGGCATCATGGCTATGCTGATTTCAGACTGCTGATTTCAGACTGCTGATTTCAGACCCGAAGCCGCTTCGGCTGAGGAGTGGCAGGCATCATGGCTATGCTGATTTCAGACTGCTGATTTCAGACTGCTGATTTCAGACGAAGCTGATTTCAGACTGCTGATTTCAGACTGCTGATTTCAGACAGGTTCAGCAGCGACTACAGCACGAACTCATCGAAGGCATAGTCTGCGAAGCCTAGTAGTTTTTCTTTGGCGGAAGTGCAGCTATTATCGGAGCCAGGCCCCGAAGAACATCAGCGTCCACCACACCAGGGTGTTGTTCTTCGATGCCTTCATCAAGCGGGAAGTCATCCCTTGCAAGATCCCATTTGGTCCACATATGGCAGTGTACCTGCCTGAGAGGATCCTGCCAATTTTGCTTGGTGAACGTCTTCGAGAAGCTTTTCTTTCCAAACTCTTCCACCCAATATGTGTGTGTCGCCTTGAACTCGACGTTCCATCTGTAATCGTTGACCCTGAGAGTCATGCGAGCTTGCGGAGCACATAATTGGTCAAGAAGTTCCATTGGAGAGCTGTGAATTCTCGGTGCACCCCGACGACTGGAAGCAGGTACCACAGAATCCTCCTCAGCTGAATAGTGTTAGGGGCGAGGTCTGAGGGAGCCAGGGAGTTTCAATTCACAAAACAGACAACTCAAGTTGATATGCAGCTCAACATAGAGCAAAGAAAATTTAGTCCCAAGGGCTGCATCGGATGGGGCAGGACCGGCACTGGGAGCAGGCAGGCTGCTGGAAGCGGCAGCATTCTGAGGGCCAGCCTGAACTCAGCACCCGACACTGGAAACCCGATACCTACCACAAAAGGCAAGCCCCTGAAGGCTGAAACCTAAAGCCCAAACCAGACCATATAACCAAGATACTTCAAAATACCCTAGCCCAAACCTTAGCACAAAAAGAGTGGGTTCCTCCTTTCGGCGACGGGCTTCCTCTGCGGCCTCGTCTTCGACCTTCCAGATCGGGCTTTGGGTTTTGGGTTGGGTTGAGGAGCCCTCAAGCCGAAACCTTAAAACCTCAACCCCTCGCCCTAGGATACCCCCAAACACTAAACCACAAATAGGCTTCCTTTTGTAGGCGACGGTCCATATGGGGCTT